TACTTCACACGCTGCTGTCACGAATGTTAATTGTTGAAACACATGACTAAGCAAAATGTTCAATCATCTTTTATCAAAAATACATAAAAATGAATTTATCAGTGATGCGGTGCTATTTAGAAAATACTGTTTCCAACACTCAACCCCCCAACTGTAGCAGCTGCACCACTGTCGTGTGTGCGGCAGCCGGCACTGACCTGCGTTGATCTGTTTGTAGCCGGCCTGCAGTGGGTCAGAGCTGTCCGAGAGCAGGTCGGTCTCGTCCAGTGTGCGCCGGATCTCGGGCACCGACACGGAGACGGGCAGCGGCGGCAGCGCACAGCGTGCCGGCTGGTCCACGCGCGCGCTCTCGAAGGCCGCTATTACCTCCCTCTGGCGAGACTCGGGGTCCCGGTGACTGCGGATGTAGCCTTTGAGACGCTGCACGCTCTGCACCAGCTTCGACTTGCCCTTGGCTTCCTGCAATCAGCAGCCACGGGAGGTGTTAGAATCAGGCGGGGCAGGGTGACGAGTGGGGAAATCAAGACAGAGAAGGGAGCGCAGTGATAAGTTTTATGGCACAAATAAGAGTTGAACACTTTGTATCCATTAGTTGTGGGTCGAATAGAAAATGTTGTCGGGCTAAAATAAACGATTTTGCGTTCAGAGCAGCAATAAAATAGATAAAAGCGAAGATAGACGATAATAGTACAGATTGAGGCAAATGTTTCGCCGTCATGCAGAGAATAATGAAATCGAATAGAGGGTCATAGTGGAAAATAGAGTACATGGCGCCGTTTAAATGTGCTAATGAAACAGACGAGAGTGGAACTCAAACAAGAAAATATTTAATGAGAAAATCTTAAAACAATAATGAGAATCAGATAAAATAGCACACCTGTTTGAAGAAAAATCGCCAGTACAGTACCTTTGATTTCTTAGGACACATTACTGGTATTTTAAACAAATAATAAGGTGAGTTTGTAAAAGAAACTACAAAGCTGTTAAGTATGCAGTTAGATACAAAAGGCAAGTAAATGTGAGAAATGACGGGTACGAAGCATGGACGGCCTAAGTAACTGGAATACCGTCAGAACCAGGAGAAAGCACTAAATACAGTGAGCAGTCTGAATCCCACCACCAGGAGAGCTGAGCAGCAAAGCTTCTCCGAAGCAAACCGTTAGGGCTGTGGCGAATCAGTGCCACCCAACCAACGGGTTATGTAAATCCAGTCCAATCTAATTTTCCTCTACGTCCTGCGTTAGTTTTCAATTCCCGCAACCACCCCTGAGCAGAAGTGCCGATGTTTTTCCTGAAGACCTGTAGCAAGTCAAGAAGCCTCAATCGACGAGCTAAGGCCGCCACCGTATCTGATGGATGCAGTTGTGCCTCCCGACGCGACCGTCACCAATGCGTGAACTTGTCGGAAGTTCCAGCCACCGAACAACCTGTAAACTCGTCCAACTGAGCGTAACTACGTTACCTGACTGGAGCCCAGCGCTGAACAGCCAGGCGAAATGTGCTTCTTGCCATCGTTCGCAGGTGGCGCAGTGTATTCGTCGGGTAACTGATCACAGCCCGTACAGCCCTTCATTCTGTCAGCTGAGGACTCTCTCAGAAGAGGGGACGCCGTTCGTCCGGCGTGTGATCGCATGGTAGAGACGCTGGCGCATTCTCGGTCCAAGCCTTCACTCAGCGAGCTCGTGTTGGGTTCCGTTTGTAGCTCCGCTCGCCGCGCCGGTCGAGGAGAGGGCTGCGAGGCTCTCCGGCCGGCCGGTCGGACGAGGCGGCGTCTCAGGTAGCGCAGCCGGCGCCGCAGAGTGACGAGATCGATACCGGGGCCGCCGTGGGGCGCGACCTGACCCTGGGAACACGCACCGATCGGCCACATGCATAGAGGACCCCGGCGGGCCGACCGGTCGGCCGCCGCGCAACACCACGTGCTGAGGAGCGGCGGATAAATGGACGGGTGGGAACAGACGGCCAGAGGATGGAATGGATGCCGACGGGTGGGAGAGTCCGCACAGAATGATCAGGTTACCACAAAGGCTGGCGATGGCTGGTTGTACATACATGGATATATCCCATGTGGCGATAGCACGGGATATATCTTCCCGGCGGGGCTCGGGGAGAAATCAGAGCCCCGCGAGAGCCGCGCCGGGGTCAGAGGTCACCTACAATATAGATATGGTGGTCGGTCAGCGTGAATGAACAGCGGGTCGGAGTTCCTGTCAAATATGCATTCGACTATAGACTCGGAATTCGCCGGTAAACGAAGAAATCGATGCATTCGACTATCAACGGGATGACAGCATGCTATCGATACGTCATTCAAGATGTCTGAACTTATTCTCGGAATAAGTTGACTAACGACCAAAATCACTGTAGACCTAAAAACTGCTATCGCTCTGAGGGTTCAAAATGCAGTTACAAAAATCAAGAGCAGATATCACGTCTATAATTCAAAAAGTCAATACAGGCACAAAAATAAACTATACTTTTGTGTACATTTGAGCGTTCATTGGCATGTTTACATATGCAATGTCACTAAGGGCACATGGTACCTATTTATCTCACTTTTATTACTAAACAAACAAGCTCACCTTTTACCTGTCACTTGAATTTGAAATGGATTCAACATATTTCCGTTTTCAGCGATTTGCAGCATTTCAGACAGTGCATTTTGTACATTATGAATAACTTGTTTTGTGGGAAAATCGATAACTTAGATAATTATGGATAAAAATTGAATGGATGGTACAACATATCAAAGATATGCTAAGAATTAGTGCAAAACAGAATGAATAAACCTTAAAATAGTCGGTAAATCAGAAAACATGCCAAAAATGCCCCTTCAATATCGGGCCAGGGTGGAGGTTCTTATAGGAGCTGCGCCATTATGTCTCACGTGAGTCTCAATAACAAGCGTCATCAAATGAAAATTTTACAATAAACGAATGAGAGGTATAAAAAGTATACATTTTTTTGCTGTCCCGTTTCCGTATTATCCTGGCCATTGTCATACGCATGCCGCACTCATATTGCAATATCTATCTACGTCATGAACTGTTGTCATTCTCTGTAAAACATACCTCATCCTCCTAGACATTGGATTAAAAACGACGAATACAAAATACTGTTACTGAAGAGTAAATGGTCAAAAGGGAATAGATCACACCACATAAACACTGACACATACGAATCCTAAGCAAAATACACATAGTGTGCTAAAACCACTTGGAAAATGTTGTTACTTTAAAACACAAAACACAGCAGAGATAGAAAATGATCATGCATTATGTCGTATTTCTGTCTGCAGTGGTATTCAAAATGAAAAAGCAAACTGATAACCAATATCAGAAGCATCGTAGACAACCGTCAATAGAAAGGAGAGGTGCAGAAGTCCCATTGCTATTCTCCGCGCTCTATTTTTTCAGTGCGAGAGCTGCTTGGGTAATTCGTTGAAAAGAAACGTAGATAGCACGATTGTGACTTGCCGCGTATTTCCACGTCTTACAGCCCAATGAACATTGATTGGTGATGATCGGTACTAATTTAGGACCTCACCAATAATATTCCAAGATTATGAGCTTATGAGGTACGCCACCTTTTAAAGAATCGTACCCACACTTTCACGAGGCTGACGTAACCTAATGTTAACCTTAATTTTAGCAGATCCCTAAATATAACAGGTCAAAAATTAGCTCCAAAATTTAATGTTAGAACAACATAACGTAAATCAGCTGCACCTTTTACGAAATTAAATTATTATTTGTTGTTTGTCCCGTTCACCAAACATATCGGGGGCTGAAACTTGAACCTATCCCACTATTCAGACACAACAGCCTCAATTAATCAGCGCAGTTCGGCATCTATACCGACCAGCACACCAGCACAAAGTAACACACCATCGTTCCACCCAGTCAGCACAGCCCATCTCGCACAGCGGAGGGGCACCCACCTCTTTCCTGGTGCGCAGTTCCTCGCAGTTGAAGCTGTTGAGCAGCAGGGCCAGGAACAGGTTCAGCACGAGGAAGTTACCCATCACCAGCGCCGGCAGGAAGACCGCAAGGCACATCTCCGACTGCGGGGATATTGTGAATAAAAGCGTCAACGTAGGGATTAGGGAACAGACACCGGTTACCAAAACAAAAGATCGAGATAATAGAAAAATATATATATAATTATGTACATGATGAAAATAATTCATTTATTCATAAATCTTTTCATCTTATGCCTCACAGGAGTGTATCAATTTGTCGAGTGCTTACCTCTTCGCGCTTCGCCCTCATACAGTCCCACAGCGGCTCGATCCATTCTCCACATAAGATGCGAAATATCATCATAAATGAATGGAAAAAGTCGTTGAAATTCCACCTGAAACACAGCAAGTATCCGTGGTTATTGTGGGAAGCCTCGTTCTTTCTCCAGATTCATGGCGTGAGACAACAATGAACGGACGACCCCTAGTAACGTCCGGACGTAACTGATGAATGGAAATTAATGAATAATGCATGTCACTACATATGCACAAAAACCCGGGACTGGCCTTGTGCAAAACAAATGGATACAAGAGATGACGAATGCAACTGTCTTACATCTGCATTGTGTTCCTACAGCGCAAGATTTATATTCGCTGTTTCAACCCAGAGCGTCCACTTGCTCAAATTTTAACTCAAATTGCTTGCGAAATCCTGCTTTCAAGTAAGCCATCTGCAATTAATCTGGCCGTTTGTCATTGCTCACCGGGGTACTGGATCCGGCTCGAATATATCCGCCGTGTAGCTGTTGGAGAAGAGCTGCATCCCGATCACGGCGAAGATGTAGATCACGATCACCAGGACGAAGGTCAGGTTTCCGAGGGCGCCCAGAGACGATATGATGATGCTGAGCAACACTCGCATGGTTGTCCACGACTGCGCGAGCTTCAACACCCGGAGCTGGAAAAGACAACAGATATACGGCTTAATTTAGGTAGCAGGTAGGTACTGTTGTGGTAAATGTGTTTTAAATCTAAACGAAGTGGATGCAATACATTTACATACGTGTAGTATGGTATTTTCTTTCAATATCTAACGAATAGCGTTTGTCTATCTCAAACAGCCTGTCATTATCATCAACCATCATAAATTAACACCAAAATTAGTCCATCAACCTCATACATCGTCTATAGCATTCACCCCTTTCGTTCTCAAGAAACAATTGCGTTAAGTGGACTGCGGTGGACGATTCCCCCACCACAGACACCTCCCCTCCCCGTCTCTGTCGCACTAATCACTATAATTGGTGCTCGGCCAAAGGTCAGTGACGCCTGCAGGACACCTGGTCTCCCCGCGGCCCTCGGCGCTGACGGCTGCCGCTCGTAACTGCCCAACTGGTCCGTGCCCCGCGCCGCCCGGTCACCAGCAGCCCTCCCCGGCCACGAGCTCGGCACGGCCGCCACTTCCAGCGCGGCCGTATGTCGTGACCCAATCTCACCCGTCACGAAGCGCTGAACTTGAGCTGATATGGATTTAGGGCTTCTTTACACATGCTTGCAAATGTCAAATCGATAGGGTATGGCGGCTTCGAGCTGCGATAGCGTTCCTCGGGGTATGATTCGGGACGGCTGGATGACAGAAATCGCAGACGAACTTCAGCGGGGCAGGCTTTGATGTCATGTAACGGCGCCGCTGCGCCCAACGCTCCGCGATATTGTTTCTGCAGGCATCACTTATGTATGATATGTAGATCGCCCAATGGCGCCCCTGCGATCGTCACATGAGAACAGGCTCCATACAAACGCCATCAAAACAACGACGGGGCGCAGCAGTGTGGTCTATCCGTCTCCCTCCTTTTCTCCCTCATGCTCACCCTTTTAGTAGGAAGTGTTTTATTAGGGACACTTTCCATTTATTCTTAGGAAGTACGCAAATAAGCGCTGGCCAATTCCCAATCTGGACACAAAACACTGAAATTGCATTTATTCATATAACTTAATGCATGAATAGAGTCACAAAGATCGTTAGAGATCGATTTGTTCTCAGTTTGAGCCGACTGTTTCTATCATGTCAGATATTAACCGTTCAAAAAACCGTCACCCACACTGGCAGGTGCTATCCCGCCTTATTGTCCGGTCTGGGGCCGGTCCGAGGTGATCGGATCTCCATCCGCTGACGGCCTGTCCCGGCCGCCCGCGCCGCCGACAGCTGAAATGGAACGGGCCGGCGTCTCGTTCGTCCGCCAATGCCGGAGCCGGCCCGCCACGGAGCGCCACCGACCGGCCGTCCGACCCAGACGGTCGCCGGACAGCGCCGCCGGACAGTGCCGCCGGACAGCACCGCCGGACAGCGCCGCCGACCGGCCGTCCGGCCCAGACGGCCGCCGGACAGCGCCGCTTCCCCGAACGGCTCGGCTCCGTCCTGCCTCAGTCAGTTCACGCTCCACTGGCTGGGTCTCCGCAGAATACATTCTTCAAAACGGTATTCAGCTTGTATTTGGCTTGTATAGTCAGGCGGTCTGGCGTTTCTGAAGCCGTTTTCTTTGTTATTTGCGCTTTCACGTGCCATAGTTGCAATGGATCCTGTGTTACATCAGCTTTTCCGAGCGTTACGAGGAATCAGGGACAAAAAATCCGTTCATGCCGTCCTTTCATCGAATATAACTAGACCCTCTTTCACCATTTCCCGCACTCAGCACGGATGAGGGGATGGAAATAATCTGAGCGCCTGGCCATCCAGCGGTATGATTCGTTGGGGGCATAAACAATAAACATCCCGGCCTGCAGGCGTGAGGCAGCCACCATTTCCGGCTGCAGAAGACCAGAACAGTCGGCACAGAGTCGGCTACCGACCACTGCCGTGGGGCATCTGTCTCTCCGGGACGGGACCGGACTACCGAGACCGTCTGCTACGGGAGGGCGCGCAGCGCGGCAAAGCGGCATTGGAATGGCCGGGAAAGGTGTTGCTACTGAACCCAATTATGTTGAGGAATAAGTAAGTAATCTACAGTTATCATAAACCAATGAAATGTTAATTTCGTTATTACTATTACCCAGTTCCAGCCTGACAGAAGCCTGACAGAAGCAAGCGCCGGGCGGTCCGCTCGCCACAAGCTGTGCGGTACAGCATACATTCAGGCGCATACTACCACTGCCATCTAGCGGCAGGTGCGAGAACTTTTCATGCCATGCGGCACAGCATGCATTCCGGCGTGCTGGAGCCTGGGGCGCAGCGGCACTCAGGTGCGGCTAATCAGGCATATCACACCACACTTTCAAATGTTCACAAACGGTCGCATGTAAGCCCGAAATGAGGACAAAGTTGCTGAATTACTTCGAAAGTTGGTCTAGAAGGGTGTGTGTAGGAGTAATAATTAGGGATTCCCGCGATACAGTCAACCTATTTGCATAACAGAAAGTAGAACACTGTCTCTAAAAACAACAAACTCTGGTCTCTGACACTCGTCACTCAGCTTATTTTCTCTCCAATACTAATCCTCAATTAGGAGTATCGCAATTTTTCAAGTTGGAAATTGCCATTTCTTGAACGATCAAACTTTGTCACTTCACTCCTTCATTCGTTGCAATCTCTATGATCAACTTTCACCATTTTTCTCGACTTGGGCGCTGCGCTTCTCTCTAGTGAGTAATGATCGTCGATTGAAATCAACCGACCATCCGCTATCGCTATATCTCTCTCGTCCCTAGTACCTACCTAATATCTCTCCTGTGTCGAGCCTTCCATCCTTCTCGCCTTTCGCATTCCATCCTCTCTTACCTCCGTGGCCGCGCCCGACAAGGCGGGACGGAGCCAAACAGACGGAACAGTGCTCCATTCGCACGCGCCGTCCGCTGATTTACGAGGTCCAGTCGTCTAGCCAAGTAGCCGGCGGACGGCCGGCGGAGGACGCGCAGCGGCGGTGGCGGCGCAGGAAAGCGGGACAGCACCGGGAGATTGGCGCCCGATGGCCCGATTTGCTCGGTCGGGCCGCCGCCTGCGTCTTTGATAGGACGGAATGAATATGGATGGAGCACGGCCTGTGGCCGACGGTCCCAGGATGACTGGATGCCGCTGAATGAAGGTGGAGGTTTGAGGGCGAAGAGAACTTCAAAGACGGACTTTGGAGATGTTGTCAATAGAATCACTCGGGCGCAAAACACCTTGCAAGGTAAGTGCGGACGGAGACATTGTCGGCCTTAGGCAGAACATTGCATGGGTAACATTTCAACAAAGCCAACAAAGACGGTGGGACTCTGTTTTTACAAACTTGAGCCCATAAAAACATCCTTGTGGACTATGGCACCCATGCATAATTGAACGCGCGGCACCTGTTATTTGCCGGCGGGTTGGAGCCACCACCTAGGCTTGTCCTCCGTGCTCCATTGATTTACCGGGTCGTGTTCAATAGCCGGCCGACTGGCACAGCCACTATGCGGACTGTGTCGGCCGGTCGAAGACAACTGTGAGGCTGTCCACAGCTGTGTGCCGCCCCACCGGCGGTGACCTTTTTCGGTCACCCGGTGGCCACAAGTAAGCAGACCTCCGCGGCTGTTTCGGCGGTAACCAGGGGCGATGGCAAACACACACACACAGCCGTGCCACGCAGTGTTATCAACACGCCACTTGATGCAGCGGAATATGTATCAGCACGGACCAAATGATCATGGCTCAGTGATTCAGAACGAACCTGATAACATACCTACGAACTACGAAGTGACGGACAAAATACGGACACGGACAAAAAATAAATTATTTTTTTTTGCGGAATGTAGTAGCATGCATGTCATTGCCAGCTTGTTTGCGTTTCACCTAGGTATGTACGTACATACCAAATATTAAAGCAACATCGAATGGTAATGTGGAAAAGTGCAATTGCTCGTCATTGCAAGCACTGCGGACTGACGCACACTGTAGTCCTCATATTTACTTTTTGTTTCTGTTGCTAAAAACCACCGTTCCTACTGAGCCTGGGTCACCATTCTCCAGATCACCGCCGTCGCCTCCCTGATCACCCACCACAAGTCGCCCTCCCTGCGTCCGCCAGCCCCACTCACCAGTCGGAGGACGCGCAGGACGGAGAGGCCGTTAATGTTCTGCAGCGACAGCTCCACCAGACTGGCCACCACCACGATCAGGTCGAAGATGTTCCAGCCGGAGCGGAAAAACTCCTTGCTGATGGCGATCACCTTCAGTGTGCACTCCAGCGTGAAGATGGATGTGAATACCTGAAACGAAAGCCGTGGTGGTTAAAGTTAACCACCGTGTCTGTGCGATATAGCAGACTGGGCGGAGTCGGAGTGTACGTGCAGCAGATATACCGGACAGAGACATTGTGCTTACACTGGCAATGTCGCAAATCAAAACATGGTTAAATTTTCATAGATGTGTTATGCATCCGGCCACCGCAGAATAGATAAAAAAAAAAACAAGTTGTTCCGCTCCATCAGCATTCTTTCAGCATCAGCATTTGAGAGTGACCTTGGAAGGCCATTCTTTAAATGTCACACCCATCACCTAACGGTGAGGCTTGATAACTTAATTACTCTTTTCATGATAGAAGTATGCTTCGACACTTCAACTTCGTTTGAACTCGATATTTCGTGCCTCAAGTGTTCGTCAAAGTTTACTGATAAGGTTTTTAAGTCATTGTTTAATGAGCATCACATATTCAAATGCGTCTGGTTCCGTTGTCATTTACGTAATGCTTACTCATATCATGACCAAAAATGAACGATACAGCGAAACAAGCTTTCATCAAATTGTATGACACTATCCAACCAATGTTGTATCACATTTTACTTGACCTACAGCATCCGGTCCGCCGTCGCCTGCTGCGACACTGCCGCCACACAGCCAGTTAATTCCCCGGCCAGTGTCCGGTTGCCATATAGTCCGTGCACAATCGGGCTGGGATGCCGGTTTACGAGCGGACCGCAACAGACGGGAGGAGCCGCCGCTACCGTTGGTGACGTCATACCGCCGCATCGTGACGTCACACATCAGGAAATCACCCGGCGGCTGGCCCACCAATCGTTCGAGAGAGGGTAGACGGAGAGGAGCGAGTGCGATGGCTGGGATTGAAAAGCTAGAGTCTGTGGAAAGTTGAGTTTACATCACTGACTGATCCAGAAACAGGAACAAGAAACTGGGGACAATTAGAACATTAATAACGTCAGCTAATAAGCAATATGTACGTTCTGACTGTAAAAGCGGATACCGTTTCTGCACAACTTCTTGAATGAGGGTTAAAGCTACATAAGGCCGAGAAGAAACTACGAAAACAAATGGAAAATTTATTTGTTGTATCATGCATCTAATGTAGGTAATATAATTACTTAAAAATCACCTTCAAATGAGTATAGGGTTAACTTGTTTTTTTTGTGTGTGTGTGATGCAGTGGGCCCCAGGCACAGCGACAATAGATGACCCTCCCTCAAATGATGAACAAATAATGAAACATCCTGGTACTAGCTTTATTATCTAGTCAAAAGTCATTAATTATTTCCACCTCTGTCGAATTGAAGGCACACTCAATTTCATGTTAAGCCTGATTGGCACCTGGCACAAAACACACGGGAGCCGCATTGCACATATGCTACCACCAAAAAGCAGCTACAATAATAAATGAAATGAAATACTGAGCAGAAACTAATAAACCAAAGTAATATTAACAAATAACTTCGTAAATAACTTAGAATCCTTCCCAAGGCGTTAGAGGCAGTCTAGTCTATGCAGCTATCCCGTACTAAGCTCTAGGTCTGCCTGCAGACTAAATAAGCCTCTGTCATCACGAGTCACGACTTCCTTAATCCGCGCTGCATCACAATGCTTGAGATGCGCACTGCCATATTAAATTCCAAGCACAGTCATAAACGTAATTTGGGCACTGACTGGGCGCCGCCTGCTCTGTTCTATTCTCACCCGTGTAGCGTTTTACGGCTCCGGGGCCAGATTAAAGGGTTAATATTGATACGGACAGCGGCCCTCGGCTGGAAGTGAACAGTGCGGCGCAGGAGATGGGCGCGGGGCCGGCTCGCGCCGCACAGTGGACCCGCCGTTCAGACCAACTCGCCGGGCCGGCCGCTGCTGGGGACGGTGGACGGAAATATTCGGGTCGCTGGCGGCGACGCGGTCCCATATCGTACACGGCGGAGAGAGGCTGGATATTTCACGCAGGCCGCTCACTGACTGACAGCCACTAATTAAACTGCAACTGAGTCGGCTTCTGGTGCCGGACACACACCGGACCGAGACGGGACGGCCGAGATAGGACAGGGAGGGAGGCGGGAGGACCGAGATAGGGCGGAGATGGGACGGGACGTGATAGGATGGGAGGAAACGGGATGATGAGATAGGACCGAGACGGTACGGGATGGGGACGAGTCAACCGGGATAGGACGGGGAGAGAGAGACGAGACGAGAATAGCCCGAATGAAAACGAGACTTGATTAACGAGTGTTGAAGATGGGTGGACAAAGACGGCGGGTAAATTTGAAACATGATAATACTCACGAACCATTACGGAAACTCTGTAATATCACATGAATGTTGTACTCGTATTATAGTACTTATACAGTATTGTAAATATTCTAAGAAATGAAAGGGCGTAAGAAAATAAATGACAATTTGAAAATAAAATAGGGCTTAAATTGAATATGAAACTTTTAATTGCGTAACTGTATGAAAATACGAGACAATAACAATGACCACAGCGCAGAACCCTCAGATTGCTGAGCTTCGGACCGCGGACCCGAGCTGCTGCCGGCAGAATGCTGAGGTCTTCTGAACTAAGGTGATGAAGTGACGCAACAGGCAGCCGAGTTCAGCGGACGATGCCAAAGCTGAACGATTCCATAGGCGGATCGGCTCGGCCGCAATTATGCGGAAAGATGTCGCGCTAAATTATTGGTTTCAGAGAAACGCTTCAGTCAATAGACTAAATTTGATTTGGCGCTAATGTAAGGCGGCCAGTGCTCAGTAATGCATCAAACTAAGTTTGCTGTCACTGTCTCATTCTAAACACATAAAAAATGCATATTCTAAACCCTATTTCAGAGCACATCCCAGCCCTCTGTAACAAACCACTGCGGCGAGGCCTAAATCCTTGCCGGCCGGATTTCAATCAGGGCCCTTCAGCGGTGGAGATATTTCCAAGCACCGCTGAGCGAGCCGACATCAGCGGACCGTCAGCTCTAAGTCACGTGGCGAGGTCCGTTTTACGAGCGCCGCAAGCCGGCCCCATCTCCGAGCCGGCTGATCCTCCACGGTCAAACGACTCCGCTTTCAGCTCAGCCACCGCCTATCAAGTGCACTCAAATCAGTACCGGGGCGGCCGGAGCAGCCGGGGCTCTCGATCTGAGACGGGCCGCAGACAGCGGCGAAAACGTCACCCGCTCGGCGCGACAGAGCGATCGACTCACTCGTTAGGGTTTACGAGGTGACGGTTCATGTTCCTGAACGAAACTTGACGTCACGGCTTTCTAAATAACGTCCCAGTCGTTATCCTCTCGACAGTGCCGTCTCCCTTTGTTGAAGAAGAGCCCCCACCACAAAAGCGACATCACGACGTACTTTCCGTTTACGAGCCGAACAGAAGCTGGGTAAAAGCTACTCTCGCGGCGCGAAATTACAGGGTGATTGAAAACTCCCCCTCTGCAGCGCCTCACCCTGTTGCCGATTTCCAGCGTCTGGCGCATCTCGTTGGACATGCCGTAGTGCTCCAGCGCCAGGAAGGCCGTGTTGAGGATGATGCAGAGCGTGATGAACACGTCGAAGCAGGGATCGGTGACCAGAAGGTGCAGCCGGTTCTGCCAGCGCAGCCACGTCTCGTACCAGATGCAGCACGATGAGCAGCAGTCGCAGTTGCGGTCCGGTGTCTCGTCTGACGGTAAAAACAGGGACAAGTAGATGATTCATCATTTGTTGTCGAAAAGGTTACGGTGCAAAGAGGTGGCCTGTTGTTGGTAAAAATGATAATGATGAAGCAAGCTGGCGTTGCTTTATACTCGTACTTCACAGATCTACACAACTGAAATAGACAGGAGTAAGGATGCTACTGCTTCCTTTCATCCCTCAGTACAGCACACCCGTAGCGGCTTACTTTGCGTTCCAAATGGATTATTTACGAGAACTATAAAGTATAAAACATATTTACGATTACTTCTGCCGCACAGTTCAGTAACCTCGGTTTAGTATCTAGCTGCGATGCTTAAAAATTCAATAACGCAAGTTAGTATGGCCCTGAGCGAAGACCAGCTGCTACATCACATAGCCTAAGGGCTCCATGATATCAAGTCCATCAAGTAACGTCCAAATGATCGGCTTAAGTTGTCTGTTGGCACGCAATGTGCCACACATCGATCGAGAGCAACTTAACTTTTACAGTGGCGCTCTGCCATAACGATTACCACCTGAAATACTCAGAAAATGATAACTGCTAACATTGCCTTGCAATTAAGTGACCAGTATAACGCCTTTTGGGGCGACTAACGGAGCGAGCGAGAGGGTGGGCCTTGCACGTGCGAAATTGCGAGGGGTACCTCCAACTGACTTGTGCACGGCACCCTACTAACCGGTCTCTAGCGATGTGCCAAATTTGGGCACAATTGGCCCAGCCGTTCTCGAGATCTGGAAGCGGCACCCTGCACGTGCGCACGTGCAAAGTGGGTCCCAACTGACATGTGCACGGCACCCTACTAACCGGTCCCTAACTGTGTACCAAATTTGAGCGCAATCGGTCGAGCCGTTCTCGAGATCTGGAAACGACCCCTGCACGTGCGCACGTGCAGCAGCGCCCCAACTCTGGCACATGGATATGCAGTGCCTAGTGGGTGCCTACCTACATGCCAACTTTCAGCGCAATCGGCCAAGTAGTTACCGAGATATTGCAACAATTACAAAACGGACACCTCTTCGTTTTGCACGTGGCACGTGCATAAGGGGTCACCCACATGCATCAGGAATAGTCCAATACTTGGTAGAAGGAATGAAGCTACCCTACAAAAATTACCGCGTGTAAATCGGTCAAGTGGTTGCTGAGATATAAGCCTCGCAAAAGCGTGACCACGGCCGGCCGGCCGGCCGCTCATACTCAGAAATTTCCGTTAATCTAAGGAAAGACTACGCTCGCTTCGCTCGCTCCGTAACGACAAACACTGCAATAACTATTAGATTCGCAAGAAGAGTATCAACTGAAGTGACCCAAGGTTGCTTATTTGGTAATGAAAGAAGGGTTACAAAATGTTCAAATATCTAATCAGTCACCAACATCCTCTTAGGGACGCGTCCACTACAAGGTCATTCGCGAACGACTGACCAGCCATAATTCTACTGACTTGTGCCCCGTTTCGTCAGCTAGGCCTTACCGTGTAGCTCGACCACATGGGAGACGTAGGAGGGCGACGGACTCCGGCGCTGCGGACTGATCCCGTTACACTTCTTCTCTGTGAGTGTGACCTCCAGATCCAGCGCTTTGGCCAGAGGCGTGATATCCTGCGATAAAGACCGACAGCATCAAGCAACATCCGATCAACAGAGCCCAGAGGCCAGGTTGCGTTGGGTGGCGTCGAACTGAATTTCACCGAAAATTAATGTTACTTTACCTTTACATTGCAAGTTTAGGCGTGGTAATCAACGAATGTTATTGCATTGCTTATATGAACTCAGCTAAGCCAACAACATAGCAGACCAATATGCACCACAATGATAGGGTCTTGTAATCGTACTTAACTTAGCAAAACTTAATCAACTAAGGCTTTATTTTAGTGTTATCTGTTGAGAGATTTTACTCAGCACAAAACATGTTGCAAACTCTCTCCATAATCATGTGTTTAGAATGAGAGCCCTCCAGCCACCGTGACCCACCTCTGTCCGGATCATCATGTTTTTGCCGCGCTCCGACATGGTCTCCTGGTCTCCGACCACCCCGGAGTCGTCCAGGGAGCACTCGCGCATCCCCAGCCGCCGCACGTCGCCCGCTGAGCGGTGCTCGCTGGTAGACGAGTCACTGTTACCCCTCATCTCCCCGATACCCTGCGACTCCACACTGGTGGCGAACATGGCGTGACGCAGCGCCTCGCGCCGGCCGCCGCCCTGCGAGCGGTGACCGGCCAGCGGCGACACCGCGTCCTCGTCCAGACCCACGTCCTCCAGACCGGCCAGCTCGTCGGCTGCGTCTCCGGTGGGGGTACAGTCCAGCGCGCCGCGGCTGCCGGCCGGCCCCAGCGGCTGCTGGCCGGTGGTGATATGCACGTAGTACTCGTCTAGCTCCCCTCCGTGGAACATTTGGACGCTGGTTTTCTCAGTGGCCTCCAGTTGCTCGCACGAGGAGCGCAGCGGGTGCGCCTCGGTGGTCGGCGGGGCAGCCGCCGGTGTCGGTGACGGCGGCAGCGCGCGGACGTTCAGTGCCGACGAGTCGCACGACACCTCTGTCGGGTCCTGGGCCGCGGCGGCGTACCGGTCAGACGAGGACGACTGTTTGCGCTGCGGGCTAACGGACGGGGTGCGGATCGCCCCCGGCAGCTCCACCACCACCGGCCGGGGGTCCGGGCTCAGCAGTTCGTGCACCAGCGCCCGCGGACGGAGCTCGTTGGTCTCGTGCTCGTCGTGTAGCTCACTGACCCTCCTTGCCGCAGGGGACACAGCGCTGACGTGGCCGTCCGCCGACACACAGCTGTCGTCCTCCTTGGTGACACCGCCCTCCACCGACTTACGGCCCTTGGCTTTTTTCTTTTTCTTCTTCTTGTTGTACTTGTAGGAGGCGAAGATGGTGTGGTTCTTGAGTCGGATCGTCGGGAACTTGCTGTCCTTGTCCAGACGGTGCAGCTTCAGGTTGGAAGGGTCGAAGCTGAAGGTGGAATCGTCCCGGTGGTCCGCCAAGTCCTTCACCTTCTCCTGGGAACGTGAAGGCACAGCAAAGTGGTAAGAGATCGGACATACGCGGTTGTATTAACGATCGCTAGCCGTTTCAATGTAGATGTTGAAAAAAATGAGCTCACTGAAAATATGCATCGTGTTTTCACATGTCACGCATCGATCCACATCTGAGCAATAAAAATGTTAAAAATAACAGCTGCTCATCTTCTCAGACCTGTACTTTGTCTGAAACATTACGATCGCCTGCCAGCCTACCTCCTCGGTGTTCTCAGCCTCTTCTTCGTAGCTCATGGCCACGACGGCCAGCATTAGGTTGATGAGGTAGAAGGAGCCGAAAAACACCACCAGCCCGAAGAACAGGATACTCCAGGGGCCCATGGCGGCGATAATCTGCCGAAAAGGGCGGACGGTCAACACGGTGCCCGATAGGCTCACGCAGCGTGTTATCTGGGAGATATCTACTATACCAGTAAGACGCCTTTTGGGCGAAGAACGAGCGAGCGAGATAGTGAGCCCTGCACGTGCAGAAGGGCGAGAGGGTGCTTCCAACGGGCTTGCGCAAAGCACCCTTCTAACTGGTCGCTAGCGGTGTGCCAAATTTGAACGCAATCGGCCCAGCCGTTCCTGAGATCTGGAAGCGGCATTCTGCACGTGCGCACGTGCAAACGGGGTCTAAAATGACTTTTGCACGGCACCCTACTAACTGGTCCCCAACCGTGTACCAAATTTGAGCGCAATCGGCCCAGCCGTTCTCGAGATCTGGAAACGCCCCCTGCACGTGCGCACGTGCAGTAGCACCCTAACTGCAACACATGGGAATGCATTGCCTGGTGGGTGCCTACATGTATGCCAAGTTTCAGCGAAATCGCCCCAGTAATTACCGAGTTACTGAAATGGGAACACATTTGGCACCTCTTATTGTTGTATTTTGCACGTGCACTGGGGGTGACCCACATGCATCGAGAGTATCCTATTTTGGGTAGAAGGGATGCTGCTACCCTATAAAAATTACCGCAAGTCAATCGCCCAAGCGGCTGCTGAGATATGAGCCTCTCAAAATCACTACTTTTGCAAAACAGCTTGAACACCCTTGACTTTTCACGTGGCACGTGCCACGACGGTCACTGAGATGTATCAAAAGTAGTCAATTACGGGGTAGAAGGGATGGGGCTACCCAACAAAAAAGACCGCAGGCCAATCGGTCCAGCGGTTGCTGAGATATAAGCCTCTCAAAAGCGTTACAGGCCGGGCCGGGCCGGGCCGGGCCGGGCCGGGCCGGGCCGGGCCGGGCCGGGCCGGGCCGGGCCGGGCCGCTCATACTGAGATGCGAAGCCACTATCGAAGGCGTTGGGAACCATAAGCGGATCTCATCTTAGAAATTCAACAGATATGATGGAGCAGCTGAAGGACATTGACATGCGTGAAAAGAAGTTGGCTAGCTTTGATGTAAAATCGTTATTTACCAATGTGCCGGTAGATGGGGCTTTAGATGCCATAGCGAGGGTGGTTAGCATAATCGACGAACAATCACTTCCACTGCCGAGAACTCACTACTTGGAATTAATTTCGCTGTGCATGAAATTCAACATCTTCACTTTCAATGGACAAGAATATGTACAACACAACGGACTCGCAATGGGGTCCCCACTGAGCCCCGTGGCTGCTTTTTATATGGAACTTCTCGAGGAAGAAAAATTCAAGAACATCATGGGGGCAGACTGTACGTGGCTCCGGTACGTTGATGACGTTCTGGTGGTGGTCCCCGAAGATGTCGACCTAGACGAAAAACTCCGAGTCCTCAACGAAGTCGACAAAAAGATCCAATTTACGATCGAAAGAGAAAACGAGCAAAAAATATCATTCTTAGACACCCTTATCATGAGATGTGGACAGAAAGCAAAATTCACGGTTTATCGTAAGGTTACAAACAAAGAAGATTATGTCCATTTTTTATCAGCTCACAACGAACGAGTGAAAAGTGGGATCGTTATCGGATTTTTCTTACGAGCATTTAGAATATGTAGCGAAGACTTCTTAGAAGACGAACTGAAGCACATTTTCGATACGTTCGACCGGCTTCACTATCCAAAAGGGTTCCTACTAAGAATGAAACAGAAAGCGGAAGAAATCAGAAGGAGAAGCGCCGAAGAGAAACGAAAACGAAGACGAGAAGAGAAGAAACGTGGCCGATATATATCGATACCAAACTCAACACATGCCGACTCGATTTCACGACAGCTTCGATCAAATGGATCGAATGTAACGATAGTTTCCGGAAGAAAAGTGGAAAATCTGACTCAACCGAAGCCTGAAAAGAAAGATAGTAACAGTGTGGTATACAAAATTCCTTGCTCGGGCCCATGCAACAAATCGTACATAGGAGAAACTGGAAGAGGACTCGACACACGACTGAAAGAACACAAACGCGATGTCCGGAACCACAATAGATCGAACGCACTCGTCCTTCATATCGAAAAATGTCAAAATTTACCAAACTGGAACAGTGCTCATGTCATTGAAAAAGGCATGTCAAAATCGGTGAGAAAAGCTCTGGAAGCAGCTCATATCTGTTTCCAAGATACAGTGAATGAAAAACCTGGATTCTTTACATGGGCAAAAGCGGCTGCAATGATGGCACTAGGAAACAAAACGTAAACGATTTCTAAACGAAAGGTGATTGGCGAACTTTGAAAGACTCTGAGAAAAGGCGAGCGAATTAAACGTTCCGACATTTACATTGTGACCTGTAGGTACATTCATTATATAATTTATTTTTTCAGCATATCAAAAGAACGCGACAAGAACAATAGCGTGATGAATGCCGTTCTCAATTTAGGTTTTTAATGTTGAACCAAAGAATGCATTTCGAAACCCGATGTGTCGACTTCGAACGATTTATACCGATTGTTTTTGATACTATGTGTTTTTAATTTAATTAATCACTAGTGTCCACTGACGAAGGCACCCTGTGGCCGAAACGTCTGGTTTTAGGAATTTGACTTGTGTTGCCATCGATCGTGAATAAAACTAAAACTTTTCCGTTATATTGAAAAGACTCACTTCGCTCGCTGCGCTCGCTCGCTCGTAACTATTTGTGAAATGAAACTCTGTCTGTGTGTCTGTTTGCACCGTGCAGAGGGGTGCTTTGACGCCGTGCGCAGGTCAAACGGTGCGGTCGATTGGGCTGAAATTTTCGCAGGGTGTTGATGACGTCACGGGCACGTGCAGTGTCGAGGTTCGAGTCCCGGGGGGTGGATGATTCGCACGTGGCACGCGCTGGAAAAAGGTGCATTTTCTCCAAATTTGCTCGGTCTTCAAGGCATCGGCAGCCGGGTTTGATGAACTTTACAACTAAAATGCATGACGATCGGCGGCGGGTGCCTCTCATTTGCAGATTGGCAGCTTATTTATTTTGATAAACAGAGGCGAATGAAGGTGTTGATTTTCGATAAATAAAGACAGTTTTCAATGCGCTTACACAAATGCACCGCGTTTGCCGTAGTGCGCCACATTTGTCACGAGGTGCCATTTTTGCCGCAAATCGCACAACTTTGTCAAATATGGTCCGATAAAGGTGCGATTCGGTGGAAGGATGCATGACAAAACGACAAGTACAAATGCACCGCTTTTGTCACGATGGGCTCGAGGGCCCTCAAGCATCATCTATATTACTATTTGTGGTGACGTAGTTTCTGTCTATTACGAAGGTCGCGACATGGTGCTACGTAGCGCGGGTTACAGGTCACACCGTTGCACCTACCGCGCTGAAGTTTGCGCAACTCATAGAACAAGGATGGACAACGTGCCTTTGATGGGTCTCAGCCCGATCGGATCGATAGCGAGCGCGTGGCGCGTGCCCAAAAAGTGCAAATTCGCGTCATAGACTTTACATGCATTAATCGGCTGGCAAAAACGGGCGAAAACAGCCAAATTTGCCCGACACGGGTCCGGTCCCGGTGCAATATCTCGGTAACCGTGGGCCCGACCGGTACGGGGAAAACAGCATCGTGTAGAGAATCGAACGGGCTATCGAATGGTGTGCGGTGCAGGGGTTGGCACGCGCCACGTGCACCGGGGAGGACACTTTCTTTTGAAAAATGGACGTTTTGGGACGGATTTTGGAATTTATATTAATTTCAGGTGATCGTCAGACGGAATGAGTTGAAACAGCGCCTATTAGCGATAAAAATGTACCGTCTCTCATGGAAAAATTGTGAAAAGCTAATTGATCAAAAACAATGAGGAAAAAATCGCTGAATTAAATGGTATTTGTCCAAAATGTACCACTAAATAATTACACGGATTTTGCTGCTTAACCTGATACGTTTGACAATTGAAAATGCTATCATTGGAAAGAGCATTCAATTCTCTCCAAGATCCAATCATCACGTTTGCATGACAAGCAACAGTATTCTTAAAAATATAAATGTTTCAAACCTCTGCAAAACGATTTTTAGTGAAAATTATCTACGCCTTTAATTTGTCATAAAACTACGCGCCTAAATTATAAAGCACATTTGACAGATTCTGAAGTGGAAAGCATGCTTATCAGACACGGGCACCTCGATGCGATGGATATTCTTTCAAAACCAAATCATTTAGCCATCAAAAAGCAATCGACCGAAATGGATAGCTAACCCAACCGACACAAGAAAACCAAACACCCACCGATCGTAAATGCCCCTTTTCGCGTTGCGGAGCACGCGGGCCACCCTAGTGACACATCTAATGCAGTATCCGGTATCTGACTGGAGAAAGACGCCTGCGAGGAATGCATTTCAGACCACCTGGAACAGTCCTTTTTGGCTCTTTCTCGTTACCTAAACGCTTGATTTCAACCAAACTTTGACACAATGAGTTTCAAGGCCCTACCTAATTTTTACTAATATGGTCTTTTAACAAAATGTCAAAATGAAGGGCACTTGTCATTGACTTGTAATGGTAAAAAGTGATCGGAAAACTCTGCGCCGTGGTAGAGGCTAGCACGGCGTAGCAGCGTCAGCTGTTGCGCCGCAGCTAAGCTCCGCCCACCGCGCCGCGACACCGGGACCGGTCATTCGCCGCTCGGGCTCAGAGGGACGCGGAGCTCTGCAAAGGACTGGAAGAAGACACACGCTAACGCACCTTCCCTTGCATGAATATGTGTCGTGTCTCGCGCGGAGAGAATAAGGACGGAAAGAATGCAATGCAGATCGGTGTATGTATAAAACGATAGGCACTCCTTCTAGCTACAAATTAAGATCCTGCAGAATGTTTTCCCTACAAAATTTAAAGCATCTTATTTTCAATAATTTATAGCAAGCTTCTCCGCTGACCGTTTTCCTACAGGCTATGGTGCATTTAATGAGTAACGAGACAGAATCTACCGCATTGTCTTTAGGTAGGGGAGAGTGGGGTAAGATGCCCAGGGTGGGAAAGACGCCCCACCCCCTCTAGCGGCGAAACAAAGAATCGAACCTGGAAATTAATGTTCTTAGCGTAAAGCGGAAGCCTGCCTTGTTAACTGCACAAAAATTTGCGAAGCGCAGTTGGGCAACGGCTGGCTGGTGATTGCATGTTTTTTATTTGCTGCTTTCAAAAAATATTTTGGTGTCAAAACATTGTAAATATCAAAGAAGGTAGATAATTTTTGCGTCCCTTGCTATAGTCGTGATACATTAACATGCGTGCACTGTGTCCCAAACAGTTTGTTTCAGGGTGTAGTTTTATGGCTAACAAATTGTACTGATTTAATGTTACTTCGGTACCTTGGGGTAAGATGCCCCCTGTCCTGATGGGGAAAGACGCCCCCCTAAATTCGTAGGCTGTCCTTCAAGCATCCCGTCAAATCATTTATTACATACTTGTGATTAGAGACAAAAGCCGATCTGGGACTATTGAGAGTCCAGTACGGTCGGGTGCTCCCCATGCCGGTCTCTCGGCCCATACAGCGACTTTTTGGGCGGCATCTGACTCTGAGAGCCCTCACGACGGCCTCTGTGGGCCCCATTATTGGCTCCAGGGCGGCCCCCTCACGACATCCTTTGAGGGCTCCCACGTTGGCTCCACGGGCCGCGCTGGCATCTGAGGTCCCCACGATGGGCTCGAGGGCCCTCAAGCATCATGAAGACCTATAAGGGCCACACAGTGGTCTCCGAACGCCACCACTGAGGCTTGTTTGGCCGCGATGGACTATGATGGCCCTAACGATGACCTCTGAAGCCCCTTACGACTACTTTTGAGGGCCCTTACGATGACGTTTGGTGTCTACTGCAGGCTCGAAGGGACTGCTGATTCGTTCAGGCGATTCACGTGCCCATTTATGTCACTTATAGTGCAGGGGGCATCTTACCTAACGCCAGGGGGCGTCTTTCCCACCCTGTGGGGTAAGATGCCCCCTTTCACTTCTTCAGGGAAATGCTTAATAGCAAAAAAAGTTATCATATTTCAGGCACGAAAGTGTGATATTTTTGGAGAAAAATGATGTCGGCTTCCGTTGAAACTCCAAGTTTTTGCTTTCCGATCGTCATTTTCGAATAAAAACTGACATAGTAAAACCCTGGGCATCTTTCCCCACTCTCCCCTACATATGTGACATTCAACGGCCTTATTTAATTGAGGGTATCCACATATGTGCTTGTATTTCGTTTTTGTTTTACTTTTTAAGATTTTTGGGGGTAACAATATTCAATCTTTCCATAATATTTCCACAATGCTTTAAGGATATGGTTGATAGAGCTTAAGGCCGAAAAGCAATTAACAAGGAAAGATAGGATATGATAATGTAGATATGCAACATCGAGAGTTCATGATCTCCCATCCTTCACTCCCCTTGTCAGTCTGTCGTCTACAATCTCTATCTCCGTCACTTGTCTCTGGTCTGCCATCTTTGTCTATCTTTCGTCTACCGTCTTTGTCTCCTGTCTCTGCTCTAGCGTTTACGTACATTGTTTGCTGTCCACTAGCCACAGTCTACCGTTCGTGTCATTGTCACTTTGTCTCTCCTTCCTTTTTCTTCCTTCCTCCGTCCAGTATTTGTTGCAGAACAACTTATCAAAAGTTAATGACATGCGAACAAGTGCGCCACTCTACCGCTCCGCGCGCGCACCACCCGCACGCCGGCCGGTCAGACTGCGACTGCGGCTGGCATGACCCGAGGCAGGACCGCAAGTGGGCGGAGCCAAGCCGCAGTGTGCTAGTACGTCACGACCAATCAGAGGGGAGGCAGCGCCCAGCCTGTGCCAGCCTCTAAGCAGGGCTCTGACGACCTTAACATTATCAGTCAATGACATTTGCCTTTATTTTTCATTTTTTGTTAATAGACCATATTAATAAAAATTAGGTAGGGATCTCAAACTACCACTGCCAAAGTTTGGTTAAAATCAAACGCATATACAGCGAGAAATAGCCGAAAAGGACTGTTCCACAGGGTCTGAAATGCATAATAGTGGGAAAACGTTCCACAAGCTTCAATCCTGGACGGAGTGATCAAAACTTGTCAATGGAATCATGAAATGTACGTTTCTTGGTCACGATTCAGCGTTTCTAAATTATTGATGGCTTCTTCCAACGTGATGCATCCTGCAACAGAATGACTTGATTTGGCAGAAAGTCCTGTCTGAGCAGCACTCCATCTGGCTGCTACTCTACCGTGGCCTACCCAAGGACATCGATTTCTGGCCAATCCCCCGCCCTCCCTCCCTCCCTCCTCTTTCCACTCTCGTCTGTTTCCTATTCCTCTCTCCGACTGCGGTCCCTCCCTGCGTGTTCTTTTTTCCGCCCTTAGCCAATGGGGTGCTCAATAGTCGGGCCGGCAAAAAATGAAAACACCCTTCAGCTCGCGCGCCGGCTGAGTGGCCCGGAGACGAGGCCGTGTCAGTCGGCCGTCCGGCCCCGAGTGCCGCCGGAGAGCTCTGGAGAGGAGTGATTGAGCAACAATATCGCCATGTTTACAGATCCTACAGCTGCGGTTTCAGCTATTGGATGGCAGAGTCAATGATATAAAATGATCTTGGATGTATTGAATACAGCTTGATTCGTAAATGGTAATATACCTTATACAGACCTTTAGGCTATGATATAGCTTGTACTAAGAAATAACAATTGTTTATTCAGATTCCACTCGGCAAGCATTTACCGCGATTGTTTTAGCACCTTGGCGTCTATAACTAATATATTCTTAAAGTCAAAAACATTTATCACCAGCCACTGATTAAATCTGGCTTCCCTGAGGCGTGGGATATATAATACCGTTCACAGCATCTTATCACAGCTTCGTAACACCAGAAAGTACTCACTACTCATACAACTCCACGGATGGACCACCTCCACCGTCGCGCCGGGGTCGCCCCTGCCCCACCCCCACCTTCCCCTACCCCGCCCTTCACGGCGTGCCACAGCCGGGCTGGCGAGACGTTCAGTCGGCAAACGGTCCTGCAGGCCCCATCGGGCTGCAAATGGCACGGTCGAGCAGCGCCGCGGAAGGTTGCAGCACCTTCAGCCCGGAGAAATGGCGCTATGATCTGCCCTGGGCGAGCGGGCCAGCTGCTCCCCCAGAGAGAAACCAAAGCCGGCAGAGACTGGTGGCCAGGAGCGAAATGTGGAACAGAGGCTTTGCTGTGTTCTTTTGAGGGTGAGTGTACGCTGGAATCGAAACCTGATTCAGAAAGTCTGTGTATTTGTTAACAAATTTAAAATAAGGTAATCCGTGTCTTTAGCTAGGGCACTGCTCATGATGCCAAAAGCTAGAGTTATTTTTTTCTATGATCCATGGAATGACACTAGTTCAAAATTTAAATAAAAATCGGCTTCTCGCAATCATTCGCGCATTCGCTTTGAGTATCAATCACGATCGCCTCAAAAGACGATATATTCACAAGTACGCACTCCACTGTCTGCTTCCCCACTCCGTCTCGCTTCTCTCCATCCGTTTTTGTCTCTCGTCGCTGTACGATCGGGACGAGCCAGCCGCCGATCCCGGCAGACGCGGGTGAGCGATGTTGTTTGACTACCATCATTCGTGATCCAGCACACAAGAGCCGACGAGGGTCACCGAGCACGGGTCTAATGACACCGCCGATGGCCTCAGCTGGGTCGGCTCGAAGGGCCGCTTATCACGCTCAACACTGTTGATTTGTGACGCCCGGCAGTTGGTGAAATGAGGTAGAAATTAACCAGCGAACGGTTCCGTTTATCTGGAATTAATTTTCTTGCGATGTCTTAATTCTTGCATTTAATCGGACAGCTTACTCACATGGTACGGATATTAGTATTGTGCACAAGCCTAAAAACGATGACTATTAATGACCTCTACATTTCGTTATTGTTCAATATTCAAGTAACTTTGTTTCTTTGTGAACCGCCTAACGTCAGAACTAGTCATTTGACGGTATAATCAGCTCCCACCCAAGTCTCATAATGGGCAAAAACGGAAATCACAAAATTACAACCAATGAAATTACTCGACATCCTCTTCAGAGCGTGAGCTACAAAGCTGCTACCACGGACCCTCTCCGTGACGCACGAAAGGTCCGGTTTTTGCTGCAGCGTCCTAACTCAATCACTGACGAGCAGTCTCGGAAAAAGGACACGTCCTGGAATCATAAACCAGCACATCATTTCTGACACGCTGGACCTTGGCCCACAAGAAATGACGCTTGAAGAGCCGCCGGCCTAGCTCACCTTGTTGTAGACATCCTCCCAGAAGTCGAGGGTGATGAGCTGGAAGGTGGTCAGCATGGACCAGAGGAAGGTGTCGAAACTGGTGTAGCCGTAGTTGGGGTTGTCGCCGATCCCCGGCAGGCACACGTACCCGGCCGGACACAGCCTGACAAACAATGGAGAAGGTTGGTTATATTAATGTAATAACGTCTTATATCATGCCATGCAGATGTTTTTAAACTACAGCGGAAAGCTGGGTACAGCGAATAAGACAGCAAGCGATTTGAAGAAAAAAATCGAACTTTCTCTGATGTGACGTTATTTGAATTATGTGAAATCATTGCCCAAAGCTGTCACTGCCCAGCACTAGAGTGAGTAATCAAAGCATGGTGTCCGATGTAATAAAAAAAAAAACTCAGAAAAGTATCAATGAAATGAATACGAAACCTCAAACGCATACATACCCGAAATGTATTTGATGCGCGCGACTAACAGTGGCGCGCAGCAAAGCATTTCTCTGCACGCGGGCGCAAACTGTAGCCTGTAGCGACACCTACCGCACGGCGTGAGCACCACCGGCCCTCAGGCCTCAGTGAGCGCCCGCAGTGCCACGTGACAATATGTGTTCTGTGTGCTTTCGGAATTCCTTTGCGTCTGGTGCGCTCCAACAGTGCGGTGCGCCGCTTTTCAATTACAGGCGAGTCCTTCCCGTGTCGGGAATATATCTAGTGCCTATTCTTACGGCCCGGTGCGGCCGTCTCGTTGTACTGCTTCCCCGTCTCCGGCGGCGCGTCAGTGCGGCCGGTTGGTGACCCCGGCCCTGCACGCCTGACTCCGCTCTCTAACGGCACAGCCGCTGACAGTAGTTTTGTCTCGGTTTTTCTATCTTCCCGTGGCACTGTGCGGCAGTTTCGCTTCGGGCTGCGGCGCTGTCCGCGACTACGCTCGACTCCCGTGGGCGGCCTGAGCTAATCGTTTTGCATAGACCACTAATCCGCGGCCATCTCGGTCCCTTTGTCCGGCGCGTCCCCCTACCGGGCCGCTTCCCCTCCCTCGCTCCCTCCCCACCCCGGGGTAGGGGATGGTCGTACCGATACGCGCCGCCAGGCGGCGGCACCGACCGGACCGAGTGCCGGCGACACTGCCGCGAGCGTCGGCGGTCTGCTGCGCTGCGCGGCGCGACTCGGGACGCTGGAGCCGCAGCCGCAGTCTCCGTATCTCGCCGGCGCGCCTGGGCGCACGTAGACCTATGGCAACCTGGCGCCCGGGCGCATACAGTTTCGTCAGCTAGGCTCGTGCCGGTGGCTTTTTCATGTTCAAGGGGCGGGGTTTCACGTGCATATATTGCCAGTCCAGGCCGTCTTCAATTTTTTTCTTACTTTTACAGATTCCTAAACCGTGACCTGGATCGCAGTGATTTCTCGTGGCTTTTTCAGATCGGACAGTATGTTTTTCGCAAATTGGTCTGTTTCGCCCAAACATACTCTACGTACTCCTCACTTCTTGTCACCAGTGTGCTTGCTTTCATCCAAAGTACCCATGGACCATGTGTCATATGTTGTGCATGTTTTTATACTTCACGGCTATGTTCCTGCCTGGTTGATCTGACCTAGCCCCCACTACAGGGATCTAACATTCATGTCGCATTTCATACGTAGGTAATTGTGCGCGGTCGTCACCGAGTTTATGACGCGAGACGCCCCATGCGAGACAATACAGTCCAGGCTACCAACAGCCCACTTTTGGGGCATGTTGCCAACACTGCTTCGACGCCGTTTTCCGGAGTCCGAGGTGACCCTGCGTGCCTCGTGTCCTACACCCGTTTTCTTGAACGACATCACGCTCATTTACTTTCCACAATGAAACGGTGTCGCCAGGGGTAGCCAGTACGAGTTGGTAGCATCAGGCTAACTCGGCGCTCAAAAACTACCACCCCATATGGCTCCTAATCTATGTTAAATCATTTCTTTCAAGCAAGCCTCACACGTTCCCCAAATGCAAAAGATGAGGGACGTGTATAGGTGCAAGTGCAATGTTGTATATGTATAGTGCAAGTTGCGTTTGCACGTAAAATGTTGCGACATATTTCACATTTACTGGCTTAAACAGCTACAATACTCCTTTCTTTTTCTCTCACAGATTATCGGGCTGTTCGTTCACTAAGCAATATGCTCCCATACATCTGAAAATCTCGTGGTAGAAGAAGACCTGGATCAAACGGTCGGCGATGCTAACGGAGCTGAGCGATAATCAGGTCCTTTGGAAATTGGATCTACTATGTACATTGTACATATATAATGAAAAACGGGGATGTATAGTCTGGTATCAGACGACAGATAGGCATTGCCATTCTCTGGATACAATATGTTGATTACCAACCTTTACGTTAGAAACGATACTCAAGGTCGGCAAATAGTGGGATAGGCCCCCTCTGGGGGTAGCAAAACCCTTCGGCAGGGGTAATGAGGGCGTCTGTGTAAATAATCATTTTTAGGATTCATAACTTGCACAGATTAATAGCTGCTTGGTATGGAGTGTACGACTGTTGGCTACTTGGGATAGTCCTTTTCTCTAATCAGACTATTTTAGAGCTAGCAGTATTGTTGGAACTAGGGGAGACATTTGTCTGAGCGGGCACGGTTATTCGTCGAGACTGAGCCCAGCCGGTGGGCAGGCCACCCGGGTCATACAGTTGGGGGAATGGCTCTCTATAGCTTCCAAAAAGAAAGCATCACCCTAGGTACGCGTCGACCACAACTTTAAATGGACAACTGTTGTTGATAATGACCGTTTGTTGCCATCTCCCCGTTCGCAAATCCTGAAGTTATGCTCCCTCACTGCGGAGACAGGTTCTAGGGCATGAGGGATGTAGGTTCCGTATTTTCAAGCAATAGTTGTCAACAGCTGATGTTTGTCAAATCAAATTAGCGTATACGGCAGTTCAGTGTACTTTATGGCCGTCTGACGTGCCAGTTGTTGCGTTTTCGCAACGCTGATTTCGCCCGGTGTGCCCTTTGTTGCGATTTCGCAAGCACGTTTTTTTTACGTTTGTCTCGGAAAACTTTTGCTGCAGGCGAAAATTAGTTTCGATTCCTTGCAAAACCCTGGTAGGAGCATAACATATTTTGATTGCATCGATGTTCATGATGGTCAATATTCCTAGGCTGAATGGGTTAAGGCGATAATCGTTCAGCGGTTAACCAAACGGGCATATACACATCGCCGGAACCGCCTTACCGGTCAACGGTTAACCCGACTCAATCCCTGGCCTGACCCGCTGCGTGCACCCGGTTGGGTGTCTCGGTCGGTGACCAGTTGACACGACGTGCATGCGCATTTTGCCGGTCAGCAGTTGACCGGCAGCACGCCCCCCCCCCCCCCCTGAGAGGTTTTGGTCGGTCGGTGGTCGACCTGAAGCCCATACATATCGCCGGCTGCCGGCTGTCGGCCAGCGGAGGGCATGCATGCAGCCCTGTGGGGCGCATGGTCGGGCAGCAAGTGGACCCGACGTGCATGGATATCGCCGCGGCGAATATCGGTCAGTGGCGGGCCTGAGGGCCCGGTGCGTACCTGAGGGTGCCAGTGGCCTGAGGGCCTGATACGCACCTGAGGGTGCCAGTGGCCTGAGGGCCTGATACGCACCTGAGGGTGCCGGTCGGTCAACGGTTTGACCCGACGTGCATGCATACCGCCGGCGGCAAACGACCGGTCATGGCGGGCCTGAGGGCCTGATACGCACCTGAGGGTGCCAGTGGCCTGAGGGCCTAATCCGCACCTGAGGGTGCCAGTTGGTCAACGGTCTGACCTGACGTGCATGCATACCGCCGGCGGCGAACAGCTAGACAGTGGCGAGCCCGAGGGCCTGGCGGGCGACTCTGAAGAAAGCATGGCCAGTCAGCGGTTTTGTTCTCGACTTGCATGCGGTCGCGGGGGTCGGTCAGCATGAGGGTTATCCGGTGAGTCATCGGTTTGACATAGACGTTCGTGCGAATAGCGGGTAGCGTTTTGGTGGTGGCGTTCGTTCCCCGAGAGTGGTTCGGGCGGTCATCGAAATGCCGCGCATGCCTATCGCCGGCTGCGTTTGCCGGTCAGTACTTGGCCTGCATGCCAACCCCGAGGGATATCTGGACGGTCTGCCATTTTATAATGACGTGCACGCACAGCGCCGGATACGTTTTCTTCGAATAGCAGCGACCTGACGTAAGCACCCCGAGGGGTGCCAGTCGGTCCGTGGTTTGACCGGACGTGCATGCGATCGCGGGCCGGTCAATAGTAAACCTGAGGGCACACCCACAGATGAGGACGCAATCGGTCCGTGTTTGACTTGACTTTCGGGAGCAAGGCGAGCCGCAAGTTCGTCTCCATTCCCGCCTGCGGCCGATTTATTGCACTTTATGATTCGGCGGCGGGCTCGCACACTCCGAGAACGCGTCTCCCGCTAACACAATGTTTTTTTTTTCCTCATGCTTTTCGGCCATGTCTGCCGCGGCCTAGTTTTGGTCCGGCCCGTGGGTGTCTGGTCGGTAAGCAGTGTTTAGCATCACTTGCATGCATAGTGCCCAAGCGATCAGCCGGCCAGCAATCGCCTGACGTACATATGCACCACGGGAGGTGTCTTTCGGTCAGCAGTTTTAACCTGGCGTGCATGCAAGCGGGCAACGGTCTAACACAGCGTTCTCTTTTTTTCCATGCGCGTCGGCGATGCTTCACGCGGTTCGGTCCACCGGCGGAGCGCGCCCTGCCCTCCCCCCTCATGTCGGAGTTGCTGGCGACTGGGCGGCGTCACGTCGCTCCCAGACACCCAGCGGCGGCTGCTTCAACTACCGCCACCGGTGCACCAAGCCGCCGCACAGCCGTCGCCTCGGCGGGTCCGCCGGCCGCGCCGGGACCAGCCCCATCGACCCGGCCGCCCGACCATCCATGCTGGGCAAGACCGGATCCTGCATGGCTGCCGCACGCTTCGACAACATGCCGCCTGCCGCGTCCGCCGCCGCGTCGTGGCGGCCCTGAAACTGCCCTGCGCTGCTCCAGTCGCCAACCCGGCGTCGCCACGATCGCTGGCCGCCGCCGCCTCACATGGAGCGGCAGTTCAAACAGACCGGTCATCTGTCTTTATTACTGTGTACCGCACTTTTTTTGGGCGTCAGGGTGTTTTGTTTTATGTTGCGCGCTTATAAGCGGCACTGCAGCAGCATGCTTTGAATGCTAGACAATGCTCGGGCTGTCTGTTATAGGCTCACTCTAGCCGCCGCCTCAAGGCGGAGCGACAGCCCAACGCAGACCGATCATGTCTTTTATTACTGTGTACCGCATTTCTGTGTGTCAAGGCGTTTTGTTTTTATGTTGCGCGTTATGAGCGGCACTGCAGCACCGCCGACGCCACGGCTGCCCGTTTTAGGCCCGGTTTCCGGGCCGCCGCCCGTTGGGGCGGAGCGGCAGCCTTGGCCATGCTGACGTGGGCCAGCACTCGGCAGCTTGTCCGCGTGTTACGCCTACAGGCTTCCCTAAATGAGTTTGGGACATTTTTATGCTGGACAATGCTCGGGCTGTCTGTTATGGGCTCCGTCGAGCCGCCGCCTCAAGCGGAGCGACAGCTCGCAGCGGACCGATCTATTACTGCGTACCGCATTTCATGGTGTCGAGGCGTTTTGTTTTTACGATTATGTGGCGCTTTGTGAACGGTCCTGCAGCAGGCACCCACGCCACGGCTGCCCGTTTTAGGCCCGGTTTCCGGGCCGCCGCCCGTTTGGGCGGAGCGGCAGCTTTGGCCATGCTGACGTGGTGTTAGCCAGTCGTCTGCCTGTCACGCCTACACGAATTTGGGACATTTTATGCTGGACAATGCTCGGGCTGTCTGTTACAGGTTCCTTCGAACCGCCGCCTCAAGGCGGAGCGACAGCTCGCAGGGGACCTACCTATTACTGTGTACTACATTTCATGGTGTCGTGGCGTTTTGTTTTATGTTGCGCGTTGTGAGCGGCACTGCAGCACCGCCGACGCCACGGCTGCCCGTTTTAGGCCCGGTTTCCGGGCCGCCGCCCGTTTGGGCGGAGCGGCAGCTTTGGCCATGCTGACGTGGTGTTAGCCAGTCGTCTGCCTGTCACGCCTACACGAATTTGGGACATTTTTATGCTGGACAATGCTCGGGCTGTCTGTTACAGGTTCCTTCGAACCGCCGCCGCAAGGCGGAGCGACAGCTCGCAGCGGACAGACCTATTACTGTATACTGCATTTCATGGTGTCAAGGCGTTTTGTTTTATGTTGCGCGTTGTGAGCGGCACTGCAGCACCGCCGACGCCACGGCTGCCCGTTTTAGGCCCGGTTTCCGGGCCGCCGCCCGTTTGGGCGGAGCGGCAGCCTTGGCCATGCTGACGTGGTGTTAGCCAGTCGTCCGCGATTTCCGCAAACAGGGTTTTCCCGAATGATTTTGGAATATGTTTTTACGTCGGTTGATGCCACGGGTTGTCTGTAGTCGACTCAGTCGCGCCGCCGCCGACGGGCGGAACGGCAGCCCTAAGCCGACCGATCATCTGTGTATTCATGTGTTCGATGATGTTCAATGTTCATGGCATCGCCTCACGCCAAGTTCTCCGTCCCGTGCGGGTTCGGGTGGGGGTATGGGCGTTACCCTCACCCAAAGAGCATGACTTGGGGTAAATGTCAGGAATACATAGACCCGTATCCACCAGTCATGTCTTTGCAAGCGCAGCGGGACGGAGAAATGTATTTGATGCGCGCGACTAACAGTGGCGCGCAGCAAAGCATTTCTCTGCACGCGGGCGCAAACTGTAGCCTGTAGCGACACCTACCGCACGGCGTGAGCACCACCGGCCCTCAGGCCTCAGTGAGCGCCCGCAGTGCCACGTGACAATATGTGTTCTGTCCACCGCCACCCCGCCGCCGCCTGTCTCGTTTATCTTGTAGCACTGTGAACGTGCTCCCGGCTATGTATATTGTTACCCTGATGTGTACCTCACGGGGGCGTTACCCTCACCCAAAGAGCATGACTTGGGGTAAATGTCAGGAATACATAGACCCGTATCCACCAGTCATGTCTTTGCAAGCGCAGCGGGACGGAGAAATACATATATTATTCATGCAAGGTATGCATTCATGCATGATGCATCCATGCCTTTTTGTATCGCAGCGAATGTAATCAATCGTGATGGTTTCTCAGCCTAAAGCAACGCATAATTTTCAACCCTGCAAACAGGGGCCAAATTAGCATGCGGCGACTTCACCCGTTAGTCGGTCTATTACTGCCTTCAGTCCGTCTGGCAGTCACTCGAACGGCCACTTGGACGACAGCTTGATGGCCCTGGTAATTGTATGAGTCGAATGGCCATTGAATGACCATTAATCTGACTTCCCAGGAGTGATATGTCACACAATGGCCGGGCGGGCGGCAGTTCCGTCCGCGCTGCTGCCATGTATCACTCTGAGTACCACCAGGACGGAGTCCGGCCGGCGGCCGCCGCGGCAGCCCACCCACACGGACCAAGTTCGCCGATATTGTGGGCCACTGACCACCGTAACCCGCCCCGCAGACCCTGACCTTGCCCCGAGGGAAGTGATCCATCAGGAGCCCAGTGTCCCGCCCCGTTCCGACTACGCAGTAATACTGTCCCCGCCGCTGGCCGCCCCGCCCCCAGATCCGCCAGACAGAGCCCCCTCCCCCCGGCCCCCTACCATGTCGATACACCCATATACCGACGAGGAATGGCGGCGGACGACTGACCACAGCGGGACGGGACCTTTTGGATAGGCTAACTACTACAGGACCAGCTGGCGTATCAATGTTACATGGCAGACCTCTATCACATAGCGAGTGAAATAAACGCGATTCATTGGCCTGCTATTGAAAAAAAAAAATTCCAACCAACCATCGAAAAAAAACATGACGCCTAACATTCATAATTTAAGGTAGCGGCGAAATACTTTTTGCCAGATATTTCAGCTTTCAAAAACATATTCATCTTTTCCGCGCCTACCACTCATTCAGATCATTAATAAAGCTGGCACAAATTGGGACAAGTGATAGAGCGAGCCACCGAGCCCTAAGGTTAATAAGACACGGATACTGCAAAGGTCACTGAAGGCACCCTTCACGACACAGTCATCAGCTGAACGACCGGTTTAATGAGGTCACTCTTCAGACGGCTGAAAAAAACGTTGGTTCGGAAAATGGGGAGACCGGCAAGAGACCAAGACAACAGGAAAATTGTGATCACTGAAGAAACAGCCTACTTTTGGGTGGCATTGGTATGGCTATTAAATACTTAACGAAATGATAATTTGCTGTAAAATTTTGCAAAAAGCTCTGCTTTTTATGTAGTACGAGCGATATAAAAAAAAAAAATTGGCAATCCTGAAACAACCGGTCTCTTTTGATTCAGTGCACATCAATTTGTTGTTTGTTGTTGTGTCATTGGTACATCATGTAACAAGCAATTGTGCTGCATGATCATTTATCACCCTTTGATGGCAACATTTTCCATGCAGATGGGTTAGCACTCAACATGCATAAATAATGTCGACATGCATTACCAAATTACTTTTGTAGTTTACTACGCAGCCGATGCTATGTGTGCATTGCTTACAATTACACAATGTCATTCGAGTAACGAAAACATTATAAAGCCCTATTATGATGCTGTGTTCACATTCAGGGTACATTATTTCGCCCGCAGCACCTACCTTGCTCCTGAGCCGTTTCCGCACAGCATGAAGTCCTCAGTGTGATTGTCGATCGCCCAGAAGGTGCTGTTGGTGCTGTACCTGTGAACGGCAGCCGGTTAGCCGCGTGCGCCGGAAATCAATCACTTCCGGTCCTCCCCGGGACGGGGGATCGGGGCCTCCCCGTCGGCCGGCGACGAGCGATCGACACACCGGGATTCGGTTGTTGTCAAGGGTCCCTGGAAACCCATTCCAGAGGCGAAGAAACTTATTTATTGGGGATTTAGTGTCTAGCGAATGGAAGTTTTTGAACAGTTCCTTTTGGAAACGGAGGCCGGAGCTGGACATCGGAACAAAAAATAATAATAAACCATGCGCGAGGAGAAAATATTGTGCTTCCTATGATGAGGATGGCAAACAGCTAAAAAAAAAAAACACTGCGAATGATGGCACGGTTTACATAGCCTTGTATGGCACGTTAGAATTTGATTCGTCTCGTGAGCTCCCTTGTTTTGCTGCAAGAACAGTCTGCGTAGTGCTTACACTCAGGCGCGTAACCACCACTGGGGACACTGGGGACCGGTCCCCAGTAGCTTTTGGGTTACTGGGGACCGTCCCCAGTAAAACTGACGACCTCAATTTGCTTAAATAGCGACATATTGTCTCTAAATCGACGTGAAAAGATGTAGTCAACGTAAGACAAAACTATGGATGTTTTGTTTAACCAGCACCCGGGTGGGCCTCTCAGCCAACTTCGCCATGGTGGGGGGGGGGGGGCTTTTTGGCCACACCAGGTTATATCGGAAAGTAAGCAAGCTAGAAAGACGAAGTGAAAAGCAACAGATAGCTCGCTACAGTATCTTCCAGAATTACCTACATCATTTTTTTATCAGGTCATAGCTGAGGTCACTACAGGTCACCAACTGTAAAATTTTCACGAAATTTTGTTCCAAATTTTGACAACTTTTCACAAATCGGCGCATAAGTCAGGAACCAATAGAGTTGCAATGCTGCGGGAAAGCGCATTCGATAGCGCTTTCAAAAGCATTTCTGAGTAATGCTCGCAGACTTGACCTAAGGTCAACGTTTTAGCTTCCAGGCTGGCGTTTTTGCGGAAAAGGTTTTTGCATCATAGCTTTGGACTTAAAACTTGTATGACGCTGATTTTACCGGCATCGCGTTTGTCTCGTCGAGACGTGTCGAATGAACTATAAGTTGACCTGAAAAGGTCAACTTTAAAATTTGACCCCTGGTCAGGGGAAAGGTCATGTTGCATGCCATTTGATTGGTATTGTTGAGCTGAACACATTCATGCTGTTTTCAGCGCTCTAGCATGTTTCTACCTAAAGTTGTGGTAAAAAACTGTTGGAGATGTTTCATGACCTAAGATGAGCTGAGGGGCATAGAGGGGTCACAGGTGCAATTTTCCGGTTCAGTGTGTCATGTTTACCTGTGTCACGGTTTTTGAATGTGTTTCGGCCAAAAGAAAAGTATTTCAATTTCCTCCCAATGACCTATAATGAAGAGGTCGTAAAATTGACCTGACATTAGGTCACCGATGTGAAAACTTTGAGATAGGTATACGAATTTTTCATACTGATTTCCTCACGTAAAAGCTCGAGTTTCAAACTTCTGGGATGTAAACTATAGGAATGACAAAGTCACAAAGTTTTTAGAGGCATGGTTACTTTACTTGCCCTGCCCTGGTGACCTGACCTTAGGTGACTTGGGGTCAAAATTTTCACACACGATGCGAAATTGATATATCATAAGCTATACCAAGTTTCACGGCGGTGCGCGCCGCGGTTTTCTTTACATGCGCAAAAAAAGTTGGCAGGTGTGGCCAAAAACGCCCCCACCCTCTTCCCCCTTCACACACACACACACACGCATTCCGGCGAAGGCCGATCCTGAAATATCATATTTGGTACCTATTCGCGGCCCTCCATGTGGTCCCCAGTAACTTCAGATTCGTGGTTACGCGCCTGCTTACACTGTGATTTCCCGGGTCCCCGTTTGGTCGTACTCACTGAGGCCACTGTTCGGCCGTGTCCGGCTCGAGAACACACTTATTGCGGAGTACGCCCATGAAGACCTGGAGCGCGAACAGGGCGAACACCATGAGGCAGAAGAGGGTGAGTGACATCACCTCCACCAGCTGGGTCAGCGAGTTCAGCAGCGCGTTGATGATGGTTCGCAGACCTGCAGATACAGAGGGTGGGTGAAGTACGTCAGTGACCTGGCCGGGGGCGAACAAAATATGCTTTTGCGCTTCATTTACCAATTTGGCAATGTTTAGTTTGTGGAAAGTGCACTTGGCGAGCTAGCGAGAGTTTCGTCGAGCGTTACTTGTCACTGCTATGATTGCATAAATGGAAAATGTCCGCATAACTCTAATAGTGTGCATTGTACGAGTCTCATGACATTATCCGATTTATTGACGCATTATCAAGTATAGGTCAATTGGTGTCGTTCTACTTCAGTCCCTATGGAGACCATGCACGCTACGCAATTTATTTCACCGTTATCATTTTCATTACGTGGCTACTAGCAAACAGCAATGCACCATTGGTAAGTGCAGCGCTGCGCTTCCCCGCCACATGACTGATGTCATTCCGGGAGAATTGGCTGGAAAATAACGGAATAAATGCCACAAAATGGAACGAGCGGGGTCCCATTTTAATAAACTACGTATCTTACCAATGATAGAAAGTACTGCTTGTCGCAGTTGCATTACATAACGTTCCAGGAATTGCGCGGTGTGATATCATTAAAAAGAGGCTAGCCGACTGGCTGAATCAAACCTCGGTAATGACACAGGGAAAGAAAGCTAAAAGATAAAAAGGACAAAGGACTGAGTCCGCTACGTGGACAAGGAGAAGCGATCGGGGAGCGGTGGCCGGCGCAATAAGCAGCCCAGGCCCCGGCGGAGGGTGGACCGTGGACTACAGCCACCGCGCCGACTGAATACCGAGCAGGGGAACCCCGGCCCTGGTCGGCATCCAGCAGTCCGCGTCGCCGGGCGGGCCGGGCAGACACCAATACCGGCGCAATCCTCCGGAGACTACCGCCCCTGCCTCTCCCTGCCGCCGCCGACCGGCCCCGCGCCACTTCGCGTCTCCCTGCTCCGCCATTATCGCTGGGCCACGTCCCTCCCCATACCCGGCAAACGTTGCCATCCAGAGGCCGGAATAGCATCACTGCTGTGCAGCAGCAGCAGCAACAGCCGCGGCAATAGAGGCAGTGACAGAAGTATGTATAGCATGAGCAGCGTCACAAATAGCACAAGTAACAGAAAGCGCATCAATACCAGGAGTAACAACGCCATTAGTAATGAAGGCAATATCACGTCAGCGAATGGAAGCCACTGTAAAAATAGCATCAGTATCATCAGCACCGGGTGCATCCGTAGCATCACACAGGGACGATGTGCGGGTTTCCACAAGCCCCATTCCTAGTCCCGTCTGCCGCCCGTTCTGAGGCGAAGGCTGCAGCGCTCTCGCCATCGGCGTCTTAATTAATGCCCCATGGTGGACGATTAAGTGGTCCAGAAGGAAGCCGGCGCGCCGCCTGTGGCGGGCTATGTGCAGAAATTGATTGATGAGAATTGGCTTATTGATTTGAGCCGTAAATGAGCCGATTAGATACCACATAACAAGATGTATCGCTGGTTGGTTTAGGTGAGCAACTATCGGCGGTTGGGGAATCGCGATGCACACAATTCACATTCAGTTTAACTTCGCATCTCCACATTTACTATGTTCTTCAATCCAGCTATACTCGATTTTGTTCGCTCTACACGAGACTGATATCTTACAGCCGCTTCTAGGCGCATCCTTTGCTTCCTCATACACGCTCTCTCTCTCTCTCTCTCTCTCTCTCTCTCTCTCTCTCTCTCTCTCTCTCTCTCTCTCTCTCTCTCTCTCTCTCTCTCTCTCTCTCTCTCTCTCTCTCTCTCTCTCTCTCTCTCTCTCTCTCTCCTCTCTCTCTCTCTCTCTCTCTCTCTCTCTCTCTCTCTCTCTCTCTCTCACCATTCTACTCCTCCCCTCTCCTCTCCACCTCACTCCCTCTCTCTTTCTTCTCCTCTTCTTTCCTCCTCCTCTCTCTCTCGCTCTCTCTTTCTCCTCCCCTCCTCCTCCTCCTCGTCCTCCTCGTCCTCGTCCTCCTCCTCCTCCTCCTCCTCCTCCTCCTCCTCCTCCTCCTCCTCCTCCTCCTCCTCCTCCTCCTCCTCCTCCTCCTCCTCCTCCTCCTCCTCCTCCTCCTCCCCCCTCCGTCCCTCCCTCCTCTCTCTTTCTTCCCTCCGGGGCCGGCCCAACTCCCAGCGGTTCGGGGGCGTACACTCCCGGCTGATTGCCGCGCGGGTCCCCGCCCTCTAACCATTAAGGCCCGGCTAATTACGAATTACAGTCCTCGGCAGAGCAGTGCACAGGCGTCCAACCGACCCGCGACGGTCGGATCATTCTGTGACCAGCCATACAGAGTCTGAGAGTGATACCTATACTGGCTTCCGGTCAGTGACGCCGCAAGGTGGGCAGAGAGCACTTCATGTATGACGAATAAAATCCGTCAAGGAAATGTCGAAAAGCAGATCGACAGACATGCGTGCAGAATATTCATTGGTGAGGAGGTTTACTAAATAGAGGCTTCCTTGAAGCTTAGGAGAGTAAAAAATAATGACACTAGACTCGATAAGTTGTTGAGAACGGTCGAAATGGGTGACTTGGAACTATGGAACTATGGGATGGAGCTATGGGACAACAATTGAATGTGTTTTTATTGAGGACGATGACCACAAACTGACTCAAGGCAACCATCCTTATCAGCGCTAGCAAGCCAATTGTGCGCCAGGCTCTGGGCAATCCTATACCTATGACCCAGAAGCCGTAACACTGAAAACAAACCAAACCGCAGCAGACCTCTGGGGAGCATTCTGAATTTGGCCAGCGACAGAGACAACTACACTTTTAATCAAAGAGCGCCGCCGGTCGATGAGACAAACCCCCGGTTTAAAAGTCACCGGGTCGAGCCGTCATGGCACGTGTCATGGCTGAGGTCTCCAGACGCTCTGTCCTCCCACGCCAGCCTTCAGCCGGCTCACCCCCCCCCCCCCCTCCCCCCCGGGACCCTGACGGAGAGGGGAGAAGTGAATTGTCCGACACTTGACACCAGCAGGTGGATAGCCTCCCTCGTTAGTGGATCCCTGCTATATTGACCACCAATCGACTAAAGGCGCGGCATTCATGAACCGCCATCGCCGCCGGCCGCTGCGAGTCACCTCATGAATTGACCCGTGCCGCCGCCCCGCCCGGCCAGTACGGTAGGAAAGCAGCCCCCAGTAAACAGAGGCCACGCATTGATCCATGGCGGCCCTGAAGGCCGCCGCTAAATTACAGAAATTACGCTCGGTACGCGATGAGCGTGCTTACAGGACGTTCGTATTGCGCCTGCATAACACATTACGAGCTGGAACGACGCTAAACCGCTCTTTATCGCCAGCAGAAATCCTGTACGCAGCTGTTGCAGTAAATATAACGTCGTTGGGACAATTGCAATGGTTATGTCATGCGTCAAATGATTGCTGAATGATTCGTGAATTATGACATGCCAGTAAACGAATGTAAGCATAAGTAAACGGTTTGAGTTTTAGATACTGTTGGGACAACATCATCATTCCAAAAGGTATGACTTATCTCAGCCAACCACTGACGGCGAAGTAGGGTCGGGGTAAAATGCCGAACAAATAGGTATACAGCTTGTGTTTTTGTTTGCCTGAGCGCAGCATTACAACACATTATTCAGAAAATACCAGAAAGCAGACTACCAGTTGTGAGTGTCCTTCCACCAAGCGTCATAAAAATATGTCCCGCAAAAAGCAACAGCTTTTGTAATGAGTAATCAACTATTCGTCAGGATCTGTAATTAAGAGACGATGCTTAAAAACTGAGTATTTACACCTAAGCAGTAACTAAAGGCCTGGCTACACTATGCGTTTTCTTCGTGCGTTTTTTGCGTGTTTGCGTGTTTTGCGTGATATCGTTCTAGAAAAAAGAACGATATTACGTTTTTGTGATGTTTTTCACCTTAAATTTTATTTACAGAAGAGTTATATTAGCTTTTGTATATAACCAAAGTAAAAATTATATTGTTTATAACTTTTTTCCTAGAACGATATCACGCAAAACACGCAAACACGCAAAAAACGCACGAAGAAAACGCATAGTGTAGCCAGGCCTTAAGAAATGTCCCACAATTACAAGTGTACAACTACAACAATTTATATACAGAATGACCACACCATATATAATTTGCGCACATTTCAAACAGTACTGCACTTCTCACAGCTATTGAGTCCCAAACCGTGCCGTGTCACACAGATAAACCCTTTCAAGACACGAACGTTAGAGCCTAGCGAGGCACCAGGTTGGCAAATTTGAGGAAAGGCTTATGAAGCTTGACGATTCAGACACAGTGCCGGTCGTTGCTGGAAATAAACTTCATAGAACTGCGGGTGGATTTCAGGTACGAGTAAATTTATTTTGTATTTTTAGTAAAGTTTTATTTTGACTTTGGAAACTGACAATAGACCACATGATTGAACACCACGATCTAAACACAAAACATGCAGCCGACCTTCCAAGCATAGGCAACAAGCTCATTGCCTGCTACTTGTTCATGCATCATTCACGAATCCAATAAGCCTTTGGTCCTTTGGCCGGCCATCACTCGTGGCCGGTTGGCTGTCATTGGTGCGCTCCAGGGCGCGCGGGGCGGTCATTGGCCGGCCGGCCGTGTCGCCAATCGTTACCGTGACCGCAACAAGTGCACGGTCCCGTGCAAACAGCGGCGGGCCGGGCACACAGGGTCGGCCGCACTGTACCGACCCACCGGCCGAGCGACCACCACGGTCGGGTCGGGTCAATATGTGACCGGCTCGCGACGAACGCCCACCAAACGCCACACGGCGCACACGGGAGGTCAGTCCATCGGTCATGGCAGAGACAGACGGACACACTGACAGACAGACAGCCGAACAGACAGACTTACAGACAGACAAACATGACAAAGTGGTGTTTGGACACTTAGTATGGCAGTGAAGTGGTTGCAATTCCCTGCAATTGCAATCTTCCATAATAGCATGAGCGAGTTCGCTTGCTCACTAAAACGGGGAAGCCATGAATGGCCAGTGTTCGGGAAAGGAGACCTTTCCTGTCGACGGCGGCGACGACGGGCGGCGACGCTCATAAAGTGGCTTACCACGAATTTAATATGGTAAATGGAAAAGGGCTATGAGGCATCACATCTTGGACGACGTGAAACTCTCGTCATAATTTGCATAGACAAGTAAATCGCCTGGGACACAAATATAATATCACTTCTGAGAACGACAGTTCATTGTGGCGGAGATCGTAGGGCGAGAACAAATGGCACCATGTATTGGGTTCTCCCCCGGTCAATGGGAACGAACGACCCCAGACTATTGCGGACCCAACCCGAGCCAGCGACAGGCCGCAGCTTATTAGCCATCCGTCTTGCACTATTACTCGGCACCTTATTGAGTCAATGTGATGAGATTGGCCCAGCATGTTGTGTGTGTTGTGTGGCCTCGACAGAGCCGCTACACCCGTTCGAAACAGTTCCGCGTTCGCAGCACACTGGTTTATGACGACAGCACGCTGTCACCGCCGGAATGCCGTAATAGATTTCCCAGGACGTTGACTGGTATCTTGGCTGTCTCGGCAGAAGATGAATATAGGGAATGTGGGTTATTTCCCCGCAAAGGTGGGACACAAGCCAGTCCGATATATGGACGAGGAAGCATGACTGAGAGCATTCATACGAAATAAACGGATAATTATGCATTCAACTTTAAACAACATTCTACCGTTTCACTTCCCCAGCGATCATACATTAGCATGTGAAGATACACAAAAGCATCGTTCGAGCCTAAGTCATGACGTCACGGGGTCACGAGAGGGGTCACGTGCAGGGCGGCATGCCGGACAACAGCACGGGGATGGGCCAGCCGGAAGGTCTCCTGGTCCCCCTGACAACACCCGTCGCACGCCGGTCACGTTCCCTATGAACAGATGCCGGTGTGGGTGGACCATTCAGCCCTCCGAGCTGTCCGTGGAACTGACAGCCGCGTGCAGCTATGGGCCGACCCGGAGAGGGCCATTCTCCGCCGTCGGCAGCTTCTTGCTGCTCGGGCTGCGGCGGGCACCGACAGCGGCACCCATTCGGGGACGGCAGTCAATAGCCATGGCTCTCGGAAACCGCCTATTGAAATGCCGACCTACAGCGCACAAAGGGAAGCACGACAGGCCCATCAATGAGCCCCACCGCAATATACCTCTGCAGGGCGAAATGAGCATAATACCTGGCACTTGTTGGACAATAACAACTGGCCTTGTGATTGCATCAAGGGTAGTCACTTTCAGACAGTTGTATTAATGTAGTTCATTTACACAGGCTCAGCAAAACAAAAAGGTAACTATGGTTTATAAGCTGCAGTTACTTTCCAATCTAAAAAACAGCGTAGAGTTACATGAATGAAATCCGCTTCATCTGTAGATTTTTCCTTAGAAATGTAAGCAATTACGCTGGATAAATTAGTCATCAAGTTCCAGCTCGTTTACATGGCGTGGTCTAAGAAGAGGCACTACAGCAATTTCAATGTGTGGTAACTGGTAGGATGTGTCCAAGCCTTGAGAGGCCACGTTTGCTGTAGTTCAGTGTGACAAATGGTCCTATCCCATTCTGTCTGCAGTGGCGTTATCACGCACACTGGGCAACAGGTACAGACTAACGACTGAATCACCGCCGGCCAGCCTGCGTCCGACTGCCCCCAGCAGATTCCCGGTCCATCACGAGACAGTGGGTCTGCGTACGAACGCACCGGAGCGTACCAAACGGCCACCGCGCTCCATCATACTCGAGCATCTGCCTAATGATAGAGACATCAGTAATGATGGAGACATGGGACCAGTCCGTTGGCTCTCCGTCCTCTGAGGGCAGTTTGCCTAGCCAGCGGTCGCTATTAGTTTACATTGAAGGACATTCCACAAATCCATCCACTACAACCGCATGGAGGCTGCCCAAACACGATCCCTCAATTAGAAGTGAAGCCCCGCTCCACCGGTGTTTGCACCGGCGTTTGGTCGCCGTCCATCCGTTCCCGACAGGAGGTACTCAGCGTGCGTCGATACGTCAACACAGCCATCGCCGTCCCGGTCCGTATGGACTGCCCGAGCCGGACGACACACATTTGCATCGTCCAGTGTTTGCAGTGGGCTCACCGTGCGGCGATCGATGCCGCCCTCCGTGCGCCGTCCTGGACGGAAGACGGATACGCCGGGGAACCGGAGGTGACATGGAGGAATTCTGCCGGCCGCCCGGTGCCGTGCCGTGCGGGGGGATGGGGTCTGCGTGCTAGCGTGCCGCGTGTGCGTGCCAGGGTGCGGATATGCGAATGATGATTTGGAATCCTATCGGGCTAAGGGAGGCGGCTTACGTATGCCAAGTGTTCGGAACAGATATTCGCACACGAGCGAAAACGTGTCACCATTATTGGCCTAAAATTCACATCCGTAACACTATTTAGGGAATCAATTGCTATTATCCGTGTTAAATGAGACGCGACAAATGTTTGAGTTTCGCTTATCAGCCCAATGGGTCAATATCTGCGGTTAGATTACTTCAACCCACAGCCCACAAATACAGCATTGTGAAGCTGATAACCAGTATCGCTGAGGAAAGCCACCACAGCAATGCGATGCCAACAAGCTGCGCAGCATCGTTATGTCGCTTTTGAACTCGAAATTCACCTTAACATCACCCCTACATCATCTCGTTAACCAACACCAGCTCACCTGGCATGATGGAGACTGTCTTGAGCGCCCTGAGCACCCGGAACGTCCGCAGGCCGGCCAGGTTGCCCAGGTTGACGAAGAGCGTGACGTAGCCCAGCACGACGACGATGAAGTCCAGCCAGTTCCACGGACTCCGCAGGTATGTGTACTTGTTCAGGATGAAGCCCTTGGCGATCGACTTGATGAGAGCCTCCAGCGAGTAGATGGCCAAGAAAATCCATCTGATAACAAAGTGTGCAGGCGTTAGATATGTTGTCGATGAACGAAATGAAAAGCATTTGTTTTAAACATTGAACTGGGAAAGTGCTATCAAAATACCATCACTCAAATTGTTGCGTGTATTTCAAAAAAAAAAATACTTGTTTCCCATCCATCGAGTCGAAATCTTAAATAAAAACATGTGTTATGGTTGCCTTCATGTCTGAGAGACTAAAAATATAGCGACAACGGTATCCAGCGTCCTACGCTTAGAGAAACAACACCACAATTTTCCGATCGGATCATCTTCATGCTTCAAGGCCGAGGTATTTCAAAATGAGCATCTTGTTTGCCTTTGCTGTCTAGCCCTTTCTCATTAACGGTGGCAATAACAACGTCCCTTTCAATTTCCACCACACCGAACCTCGGCAGAGTTATTTGTCGTTGGCCATAGCTAATTAAGCCCTCACGAGGCACAAACATCACATACCTTACGTATGTAATCACAATAATAGCGCGGCCATGAAATGTCTGTCACATAGCTTCATCCAGGGCACCCAGCTAGCACAATAAATGAGCCAGGGCACCGCACGCCCGTGACCGCGGGCACTTATTACAAATCGATATCAATCTCGGCGGCGCGGTGGCCGGCCAGCCGCCGCCGCCCGGCGCGGCCGCCGCGGTGCGATTGCCTCCGCACAATGGGCGCACATGCAGCCTCCCTTTAAGCACCGGCAACTCATTAGGGCCAGCGGTGGCACATGGATTTCCAATACCGGGCCGGACGGTCCGAGCGGTGCGGCGACCGAGACAGAGCCGGAGAGCGGCGGGAGAGAGGGAGGGGTAAACGTCACTCGAGTGGGATGAAGAGACGTGTGTGACATCGTCCTGGTCCGAGAAGGAGATGGAAAAGGGTTGGTAGTGTTTTCATAACATGATAAACGCCGGTAAACATTGATTCAGGAAATGCTGTTCACTAACCAACTCCTACACCGGTGTTATTCAGCACGACGGAACTTTGATTAATGCTCCATATTACAGAACGATTGGACAAAATGAAGCCAGCTTGTTCTCAAAATATTCGGATGGCAAACGAAATCGCATCGAATAAACAAATATTGCGCACGTTGAATATTCATTGGGGAATATTTGTTTCTGGTCCCTAAAACGCTGTTTCTGGCACCTAATTGCTGATCAGCCCCAAAATGTTTATTCGACCCTAATATCTGAATCTGGCACCTAATTGCTTCCACACAGCCTAAAGTTGCCAGATCGTCTAGTTGAACTCCGTATTTGCTGTTTGCTGATTCAGCACCAAAACCAAAACATCCAGCACCTATTTTATTCCACGTTTGCCTACCTAATTCGCGTAATCTTCCTGATTTTATGTATCCTAACAACATGAACGTTGCATTCGGTGATATCAAGTGCCATTTTCGCCAGTGGAGATAATGATTAATGCCATTTCTAGCCAAAAGAGAATCACTAGCCAGCTATGGTGCAGCATAGCAAGACGCTCCTATACCAGCCCGCTATGTAGAGACCAGAGATTATTACGGAGCGAGCGAAGCGAGCGTAGTCTTTCCTTAGATTAACGGAAATTTCTGAGTATGAGCGGCCGGCCGGCCGGTGCGGACGCTTTTGCGAGGCTTATATCTCAGCAACCTGAACCACTTGACCGATTTACATGCGGTAAATTTTGTAGGGTAGCTTCACTCCTTCTAACCAAGTATTGGACTATTCCCGATGCATGTGGGTGACCCCTTATGCACGTGCCACGTGCAAAACGAAGAGGTGTCAGTTTTGTAATTGTTGCAATATCTCGGTAACTACTTGGCCGATTGCGCTGAAAGTTGGCATGTAGGTAGGCACCCACTAGGCACTGCATATCCATGTGCCAGGGTTGGGGTGCTGCTGCACGTGCGCACGCGCAGGGGTCGTTTCCAGATCTCGAGAACGGCTCGACCGATTGCGCTCAAATTTGGTACAGTTAGGGACCGGTTAGTAGGGTGCCGTGCAAAAGTCAGTCGGGACCCATTTTGCACGTGCGCACGTGCAGGGTGCCGCTTCCAGATCTCGAGAACGGCTGGGCCGATTGTGCTCAAATTTGGCACATCGCTAGAGACCGGTTAGTAGGGTGCCGTGCACAAGTCAGTTGGAGGTACCCCCTCGCAATTTCGCACGTGCAAGGCCCACCCTCTCGCTCGCTCCGTTAGTCGCCCCAAAAGGCGTTATACTGGTTGCACCCTCAGCCATTTTAACGTGAAAAGTTTGGATCCGTCACTTCCAGCCAGGCTCTCAGGTCATAAACTGGAGTAAAGCAAAATGTCAACTCTGAACAGACATGCCACGCAACCGGCCCTCTTTTCAATATTATTAGCTTTCTGCAATCATCGTCTGACTCCATCTCGATCAAACGCAGCATCCGGTTTCTACAGGGGCGTTTGACTGACCGGCCACACAATAACCAAAAACAAAATCAAAGCTTCATGCACACATATGACATAAGTAAGAAACAGATGAAAAAGGCACAACCAAGGCACAACTCTGCGCGGCAAACAACGGACAATGTCCCTCCCAAGATCCCGCGTTTCTTCAGCGGCCTTGAATGGAATGAAAACATTACATTTCTTTTTTGGAGCTATTTGATGACGTCAAAAAATACAATACCCGTTTTAATGGTCAAAATCGAGACAATTACTCACAAAAATGTTTCCCTTTAAGCATTACAAATAAATACTTTTAAATATTTAAATGACATTGTTTTTTCAAACAAATCAATATTATTTGCTTACTTAAACGTCATATACAATGCTGAGATCACTACGGGGCTGTCTTAGAGTGTAGCTGCACTGGCAACCTTTAGGCTAGACTCCAGGGGTCATTATACCAGAACAACATGATTCTACCAGCCAGTAGTTCATTTTTCTACTAGATTGGTGCTACGCTCAGCATTTAGGTGCCAGATTCAGAAAAAAGAGTAAGGCGTACCGATGAATAGGTGCCAGAAACAGCTAATTAAGGTCATTTTCCATGATTGGTGCTGGTATCCACCAAATAGGTGCTGAGGACCAATTTTGGGGCGATTTAGCTTTTAGGTGCCAGAAATAGCTTTTCTGGGACACAATTAAATGGCGTCCATATTCATTCGTTTGTTTTCGTTGTCGTCACCGTTGTCATGATGATTGCATTCATCGCGATATGCAACCACGCAGCTATCAGCTGCGCCATCCTTGTCATACCGCATACATCAGCGCATGTTATCCCACTCGCCGCCAGCGCCATCCATAGGATGCATACATGATGTCAACAGTGGTATGATTATTAAATTTGCATTTGGAACCGGGAATTAGAGCTCATCTTTCCTAAACAAGCACAATTACAGATACTGCAATATTTTGTGGAATGTGTGCTGCATGTTCACTTCGTCACTGGTAATGCTTGCTATTAACACTCAACAAGTCAACGGTCCATAAAAATACGATAGTTTAGCTATTGGTGTTCACGTGCAACGTACCCAACACCGTTACGTGAACCCACCCGTAGTCTGATGGACCAGCCGATGGGCTCTCTCGGCGGCAGACTCCGTGTTATCTATTAGCGCCATAAATCGGCAAATGTGGCGCGGAACGATGGGCCATCCGTCGCCACACGTCGCCATCAGAGCCCCGCACCGACATCGAACTGCTTCGAACCGACGCTGGCAGCTCATCTCAATCTCACAGCTAAGATTCAATTTGGCAGTGGATTAACTTGTATAACACCCAACTTGTGACAGGAATTGAGTATGGGAAAGTTCTTCGGACTTAACGTGCGAAACGAGTGTCTATTGAAACTACGGGGTGATTGTTGTGCGTGTATGTATGCAACTGACAGCGGTTAACCGTAAACTGAAAACGGGCAGTGAATACTACTGAATACATGTAATGGGTTAGCGTTTCGTTTGAGTTTTCCGTGAGTTTGCGCTTATTTGACGTTGCATGAATATGGCTACAGCTGGGAACACTCCTCACTGGTGCGAACGACAGTCGACAGTTGGTGATGAGATTAGCAATACAGTAATTAGCAATAAGTTTGTAGCTTGGCGATTCCTCTAGCGTCTACGATGAATGTGGGAAGGGCTGGTAGACTGGCGCTGTTTGTTGGAGCTGACAGGCGTGGCGTGATTAGACGCAGTTTGAAAACAAACGACCCGCCTAACTGATGGTCGTGAACTTTGCGCAGTAAGGCTGTCACCCGAGAGGTCGAGTGAGGCCAGGCCCACTCGCTGGTACTAATGCCTCGGGATACGCGTTTGGGAGATGCTCAATCGGCTGAAATGCTGTCGTGGTAAACACCTTCATGTTGTTGTGGTGCAGCCAAACTGGGCCGAGTCAAACATCAAGCTATGACATCTCCATCTTCAGCATCTCCTCAGCATCCGTCACAGCATCTCCCGTGAGCGCCCACCGCTCGGCGCCCATCGGGCGGAGAAGAGCGGCACAAAGCCGCCCTGTGTCCTCCGGGGACCGCGCGGCGCCGCGCCGCTGGCAGCCGCGCCAGATACAGCTCTCCGGCACCGCCATATGGCCGCCCTGCCGGGCCATCAGCACCGGCCCACAGGCGGCGATGCAGATGCAGATGCAGATGCAGATGAGTCTTCGGGGGAATAGCCTTTGCATCGGCTCCCCCATAGGTGCCCTATTTGGTTATAGGGGTACTGGGAAAAGGATGAGGATGGAGGCTGCATGTCTTTCTACATTTGCTCATGTTCCTTCCAGACGCTTTTGACGGATTCTCCATAGACAGTGCAGCTTCTCCTTCCTCTCTTCCGCATCCTCTTCCCGTTCGTCATTGAAGAGAAAGTCTCTCATGATCTCCTGAGTGTCTTCTATGTGAGGTCGTTGTAGGGACTCGATATTACTTCTAACATCCATGAGTCTGTTACATTTCAATAGAAAGTGCTCCATGTCTTCATTCTCCTCTCCACATAGTTGGCATAATGTGTCTTCATCGGTGTGTCGTCTTCTTTCTTGTAGGGGTA